CAACTGAACATGCCAATATTGTCAGTTCAGTAATCTTTGTTTTGTTAAACTCCAAATCAGGTATTCCAGTTGTTTCCAAGTCAAAAAATGCTAAAGTTTTAATTTTTGACGTGTTTGAAGTGGATGAACATTGTTGTGAAAGAACGGAAGTGAAATTCTTGTTGTTAGAACTCATGACGTATAATTTCAATAAAAGATTTCAGAAACTTTTACTTTGTTCTAAGGCTCATTAGATCTGAAAATAAAGAAATTAATGATAAACAATCAAATATCACAACAAAATGAAATAGCTTGTAATATTAATTGCGTTATAATTTAATTGCAAGAAATATTGAAAATGGATTAATCCCATACCAAACTTACTAAAAAAAGTTAAACATTTTCTATGTCTTGTGAAAACTTTTTATCTTTAGTTATCTACATCGATGACTTATCAATTCCTTGAAATTTTTATTGCAGCAAGAAAGACATTTTCGCAGCTCACTCAGTAAGCAAACAATAAAATGTAAACAAACAACAAAACATTCAGGTGTCTTCACCTAGGTTCTGAAAAAATGAAATAGTAGTTGGAATTGACACCAGGTAGCGCCGACAAAACTTTTTTTTGATTAGCGGGTCAACATCAATTCCTATCAAATAAAACTAAAATAAACAATTTTAAAGGTTTTAAAATATTATCAATAAAAAATGGCGAGCCACAAGACGGCTCTTAGTGATCATTCTCTCATTCCGCGTGTGAAACAGGTATGCATTATCTTAAAAACACAAAGCGTCTAAATCTGAATTCAGGTTTAAGGTTAAATAAATATTCTTATTGATTTTTCTTATGTTTTTGTAATTATCGTTTCAAAGTATCTCGAAGAAAACGTTCACAAGACTTATGTAGATGTCGATGAAATGACTCAGTCGTTAATGGGCCGATACCAAGAATACTCGCGCCGAAAAATGATCCCTTTCCGAACAATGGTTGAGCTTGGTAAAATTTTCAAAAACTTCTTATATTTCATACGAGTAACTTGATATTTTATTTATCAAATAGCTTACAAAACAGTTCTTCACTCTTATGGAATGGATAGTAATCCTGCTTCTGATAATGAAGACGGTGGATCTGATTTAGAAGTTATGGATGTAAGTCTTTAATTTTTAAATAATTTTCCGTATGTTTTATATAATTCTTCATTTATTTCATCGTTTGATATTGTAGGAAGTAAGTAACGGTAATCATATGAATAATGCCTTGACAAATATGTATTTGAAAAAGAGTGGCAACCCAGCAACAGTCACATCAACAGAAGATCCTGCAATCAGCATTGACATCAGCAGCGATGAAGAGGACAACGGTGAAAAACCTGAAACATCTCAATCAATTGAAAATGCAAAAGCAACGTCGATGAAAGCAAAACAATCACTTCTAATTCAGCAATCTGTCTCACAGTCAGCTTCGTGTGCAAATGGAACAAAAGCAAATGCTTTCAATGAATTAATTGAAAAATCACAAGCAACATCAACTGGACAAAAAAAGCGTCGCATTGAACAATCAGAAGAATCACCGACTCAATCCTCGAATCAAAATCAACAACAAACAACGCAACAACAGTCGAAACCAAAGAAATTTAAAAAAGAAGTTTACGCTAAAAAGTCATCTGTGACGTTTGCAGATGTCGGAGGAATGGATAAAGCATTGAAGGAACTTTGTGAATTGATTCTTCACATCAAACATCCAGAAATGTATCGACACATCGGCTTACCACCGCCTCGAGGGTTCTTGCTGCATGGAGCACCAGGAACTGGCAAAACGCTTCTCGCTCATGCCATCGCAGGACAATTGGATGTGTTACTTGTTGAAGTGCCTGCAACGGAACTTGTGGCGGGTGTATCTGGTGAATCTGAAGAAAGAATTCGTGAAATTTTCGAGCAAGCTGCTTGTTTTTCACCATGTGTCTTGTTTATTGACGAAATTGATGCAATTTCATCGAATCGTCAAACAGCTCAGAAAGATATGGAACGTCGTATTGTTGCCCAATTGTTATCCTCATTAGACAATCTTTCAAAACTCAAATTTGGTGATCAGGTTTTAGTGATTGGAGCTACAAATCGTCCCGACTCGTTAGATCCAGCTTTACGTCGTGTTGGACGCTTCGATCACGAAATATCGCTCGGCATTCCTGATCGTAATGCTCGCTCACAAATTCTACAAATTATTTCACGTAATTTAAAGCTTGAACGTCCATTTGACTTTGATGAATTGGCTACTTTAACGCCTGGATATGTCGGAGCTGATTTACTTGCATTAGCAACACGAGCAGCTTCAACAGCGATCAAACGAATTATTACTGATAAAGAGACAAAAAGCTTAGAAGAAAGTTTAAATGTTGTTGAAAATGAAAAGAAAATTGAGCCACCCGTCGTTAATATCGACGATGATTCTTTATTAATGGAAGTTGACGTTGAAAAAGAACCAAAAACGACTGAAGATGAATCAAAAATTGTTGATAAAATTGAAGAAGAAAAGAAAGAAGATGAAGGTGAAAAGATTGTTGCCGAACCGGAACCAATTCAACCAATTGTTGATACAATAATGGAAGAAGATACAAAAAAAGTTGAAGAAACTTTAAGTGATGTTATAAAGAAACAACCAGAAGTGAAACTTCAACTGACGCTCGATAATATGATAAAATGGCTTCAAAATGATGTTCAGCCAATGACAAATGAAGAATTAGAGAAACTTGCTATAACAAGAGACGATTTCTTGGATGCTGTCAAGCACGTCCAGCCATCAGCTAAACGTGAAGGATTTATAACAGTTCCAGATGTGACCTGGAATGATATTGGCTCTCTTCAAGACATTCGAAATGAACTCAAACTTGCCATCTTAGCTCCAGTCAAATTTCCAGAAAAACTTCAGAAATTAGGACTTCAGTCACCATCTGGTGTGCTTTTATGTGGTCCTCCTGTAAGATAAACTTTAATCTTCTTTCATTTCAAGTTTAATTGAAGTTTTATCTTTCTGTTTTACTTTCAGGGATGCGGTAAAACTTTACTTGCCAAAGCAGTGGCTAATGAAGCTGGCATTAATTTTATTTCAGTTAAAGGTCCTGAGTTATTGAATATGGTGAGTAAATCTGCAACTTTTGTATGTTCTGACAATCATTTTTACTTTATTTTTGTTTACTTTTATTAGTACGTTGGTGAAAGTGAACGTGCAGTTCGACAATGTTTCCAAAGAGCTCGCAACTCAGCTCCTTGTGTTATCTTCTTTGACGAGTTTGATTCATTATGTCCAAAACGATCTGATAGTGGAGAGAATTCAAGTCAACGTGTTGTTAATCAGTTGCTGACAGAAATGGATGGAATTGAAGAGAGAAAAGGAGTTTTTCTTATGGCAGCAACAAATCGACCTGACATTGTTGATCCAGCAGTTCTCCGTCCTGGTCGTTTGGATAAAATTCTTTATGTTGGATTGCCGGAAGCATCTGATCGTGTTGATATATTAAAAGCTTTGACAAAAAATGGAACAAAACCTGAATTAGCTGAAGATGTTGACTTTACTGAAATTTCTCAACTTACAAATGGATATACTGGAGCAGATCTTGCTGGATTAGTTCGACAAGCTTCATTACAAACTTTGAAAGAATCAATTGATGGAAATACAACTGATGATGACTTGAAAGTTTATAAAGTTCATTTTATTGACGCAATTAAAAAAATTAAACCATCAGTAACTGAACAAGTAAGAAGAAAAAAATAATTAAATTAATCGGCATCATTTAACATAATTTTAATATAATTACAGGACATTAAACATTATGCAAAGTTGAAGGAAAAGTATGGAATCAATCACGAAGCATCAATGGATTCCAATTAAATTTCTCACTCATCCAAATCCTCACAAATTCAACTTTTCCTTTGAATGATCTACAAAATTATTATTTCTTAATTTCATGACTTTAATTTCACAGTTTCACACAATTCAAAGACAAAAGATTCAAACGAAAGGGAAGAAAATGATTCCCATTTAAATGAAATAAATTTTAAGAGCTGTCAGTTGTATCATAAACTTAATTAAAAAATAATTTAATAAAATGAGAAGAAGTAACAAAGATATGAAATTATTTGAAAAAATTGAAAATCTTTTTCTTTAATTTCTTCTTAAACATATTTCAGGATTTCAATTAAACTTTGATAATTTCAGCTATCTAATTAAATTTTTTGCCATTTGTAATCCGTTCATGAAAAGTGTTGCGAGACATTAAAATTAAATTTCAAATCTTTCAGACCTTTCCCATGAGTTCAATGCAACTGAGATTATGAACATTAAAAAATTATTTAAATGTTTAATCATCTAACGCCAGAAAAAAAAGAATAAGCTGATAATTCTGACACAAAATTTTTTTGGAGTCGCCGATAAGACTGGAAGTGATTTGTGCTTAGCGGGTAGACAAACGCGGGTATAAAAGCGCGTGAAATTCACGAAAAACTTTAGTCTGTCGCGCGGTTTAGTGGCGAATCGTGGTAAGTGAGTGAAGTGAAGTGATCAGTGGATCGGTGATAAAGTGGAATGAGAGTGGCAGTGAAGTACCTTGGATTAGCTTCACTGTTCTCTTATTTTTCTTTCAAAGCTCTTCCACATATCCTTTCCTGTCCTAATTCTCATTCCTCTCATAGCTCGTTCGTGGAGTTCTCTTCATTGAGAATTATGCGAGCGAGCATAAGATCATTGACTTGAAACATCTAAGATTGGCTATTATCAAATATTTAAAGAGTGAAGGCGGAACACATCGGACACTTAAATTATGTTTTTCTTTTAATTTCTTTATCAGCAACTTTATAAGCAGCTCATTGGAATTTGGTGAAAAATTATTTAGAACATAAAACTGAGGTGCAGTGCGAACACAATAAAAACTTTTGCAAAAAATTATATTATGAAAGTTTAGAAAAAGCTTTAAAATGAAGCTAAAAAATAAATTAATTGTGATAGCATGTGTTTTGCTAGTTTTTATCGCTAGTATTGATGCTGCCGAGAAAGAATCAAAAAAGAAGAAGAAATCAAAGAAGGTGAAAAATGTTCAATCAGATGCAGCTAGAGAGCCACAAGCGCAACAGCCGAACCTTGATGAAAACAATGACTTTTATCCTGATGAAAATTACGATTATGGAGAAGAAGATAATTTCAATGGTGAAGGTAGTTAAGGAATGATTTCATTATAAATGTTGCGGAATTTGAAATTAAATGAAAAATTTTGAACTCATAACAGACAAGGAAATCGAAAATTTAGAATTTTTGAAGCTCTTATCGCTCTACGCACTGATCTTAGCGTCGATCTTTTATGAGAGGTTATCGCTCTATTATATTTGCAGAGACTCAAATATTCAATTTTTTTAGCATATTTACTTATATACTCATTTCGGAAGTTGAAATCTATGTTTTTTTCTATTTCTGGTTTAAGATGACACTGAAAAATCGACATTCGTGCTTTTAATTTAATGAAACTTTGAGCTTTTTTAGACGTTGAAATGTTGTTGTGTTGAATTCATTTAATCATATTGAATATGTTTTTGAGTTTGAGTAACATGTAAACATGATTATTACTACATAAATTTAATAAATAATTAATGCTTAAAGTTAATGATTGAAGGAGAAAATCTTAAAGTTTCCTGAAATGAATTATCAGACTCCAAATTGAAACCAAATTCTTATCAATGAATATTCATAACCAGGAAAAGTATTTACACTGATAAGCTTGCAAAATCCAATATTCTATCAAAAGCTCTCACGAGATCATGACTTTCTCATTTATAAATATTTGTTCTTATCGTCCTTGACCTAGAAACAAATGAAATCTTGTTTGAGTCATTATCAGAATATTTCGAGCGAATCGAAACTTTTGATGATTTCTTTATTACATAATAATTTTAATCTTTTCTATTTTTATGAAGCTCTTCAACCAGAATCCGAAAGAGTAGAAGCAAGCACTGTTTTCTTCAGGCAGCCTGATGATGAAATTCCAAGAACAAGACGTCCTAATCCAGAACCAATCGTTGGTAATAATTTACACACGATTTTATGATTAATGTTGTTAATTTTTATTTTTGATGCTTTCAGCTCCTTTCTCTTGCATGCATGAGGGTAAATGGTACAGAGAAAGAGAAGAATTCAGAGAAGGTCCTGGTGGATGTTCAGTTTGTCTCTGTGTGAACACTCAAGTGAAATGTAACGATGAAGCATGTCCAAGACCAACAACAACAACTACACCTGCACCAACAACTCCATTTGTTAATGGACCAAGAGGTGAACTTGGAACTGATGGTGAACGCGGAGAACCTGGTGAAAGAGGTCAACCTGTAAGTTCATCAATTGACACTGAATGAATTTTGTTTTTAATGTTTTTCTTTTTTTTTTTATTAGGGATCACCCGGAACTCCAGGTAAATTAATAAAGCTTTCTTATTTTTCAATCAAAATTAATTCGTTTTTTATTATTTATTATTTCAGGAATTCCAGGCTCACCCGGGTACATTTAATTGATTTTTTACTTCTCTTTTATCATCATCATCATAAGAAATGTTTGAAGTTTATTTTTATGATTTTTATTGACTCGTAGGTAATTATAAATTTCTTGTTTCCTATTTAAAGGCCTCCTGGACCACCACCAGATATGAGCTATTACAGTCAACAACTTGCTGACCAGATGGGCGGATCCGATAAAGGCCCAAGCTATGGACCGGAAGCTTTCCAATATATGCAAGCATCTACCGGTCCCGTAGGAGCTAGAGGGCCAACAGGTGAATTTATTTAAATTTATCGTTTAAACATGATTAAATGAATTAATTATTGTATTGCATAGGACCTGTTGGATCTCCTGGTCCGCAAGGTTTTCAAGGAATTCGTGGTGAACCCGGTGATTCTGTAATTATGAGACATCATTTAAATAACTAGCATGAATAATTTATGATTTTATTTGCAACAGGGCCCTCCTGGACCACATGGTGCACCTGGTTTAATGGGTCCACCTGGTCCACCTGGAAAAGATGGAGAAAATGGAGAAGATGGAGAAGTAAAAATATTATTCATTAATGTTATAAAATTTATTATTCTCTTTTTTTTAAGGCTGGTCCACTCGGAGCTCCGGGAACTCCAGGCCCTAGAGGTTTACCAGGTTAGTTGAAGAATGTTTTAATATTTTATTTTCATCAAATAATTTTTAAATACTCTTTAGGAATGCCTGGAGTGCCTGGTGTAAAGGGACATCGTGGTTTGACTGGTCAAGATGGTCCTAAAGGAGAAACAGGTTCATCTGGAGAGAAAGGAAATGTCGGTTCAATGGGTCCTATTGGACCTCCAGGATCACCTGTACGATGAGAAATGAAAGCGTTAAACAACGTTAATTAATAAAATGTGCTTACAGGGAGCAGCTGGGCCACGAGGAGAACGGGGAAGAGAAGGCCCTCCCGGACCACAAGGTCTTCGTGGTATTGACGGAATACAAGGCCCTCCTGGTCCTACGGTAAATTTATTGTTGTGTTTTATTTCTATGTAACTGAATTGAACATTTTAGGGAGCCATTGGAAAACCTGGTGCTCCAGGATTCCCTGGTAAATACAATCAGTTTAATTCTTTTTAAAAAATTGAAATATATTAATATAATTTTATAGGAAGCCCCGGAAACAAGGGAGACATGGGTTCTCAAGGTCCGAAAGGATCTCAAGGTCAACAGGTATTTTCTCGTTTCGTATAGAATAATTTCAACTAGATTTATGTTTAAAACTATAATTATATCTTCAGGGAGCTCGAGGAGAATCTGGAAGACCAGGTTTGACAGGAGAAGCAGGCCCACCAGGTATTTCTGGTAAAGATGGAGCATCTGGTGAAAAAGGAAGCCCTGGAAGTCAAGGTCCATCAGGACCTATCGGATTTCCTGGCCCCAGAGGACCAGCAGGTTTAAATGGAAGTCCTGGTGAACCTGGTGTAAAAGGAATACCTGTAAGCTCATCAATCAAAATTGATAATGATAAATAGAAACATAACTTATGTCTGATAATTCAAGGGAGTGCAAGGAGAAAGAGGCTTTAAAGGAGAAGCAGGCATCAAAGGAGAAATTGGAGCTCCAGGACCGAGAGGCATACCAGGAGCTTTAGGACCTGAAGGAAAACGAGGAAAGCGCGGAATGAAAGGGCCCACAGGTAGAGCCGTTTATTTAAATCATTTATAATTACAGACTTGTGGCTATTTTTTTAAAGGTCCACAGGGTCCACAAGGTGAACGGGGTTCTCCTGGTATCATAGGTTTGCCAGGTCCCGATGGAGTTGCTGGTCCAAAGGGTCAATCAGGAGATAGAGGTGCTCCTGGAACACAAGGTCCTAAAGGAAGCACTGGTGATGTTGGGGCACCAGGAGTTCAAGGTAAGTTTTTCGTTTAGTTATGGAACTGATGCTCAATAATTTAATATGAAATATTTATTTCATTCAGGTGTGCAAGGCTTGAGAGGATTACCAGGGCGTATGGGACCAATAGGAAAACCTGGAGCTCAAGGTGAACGAGGAATACCTGGATCTGATGGAAAAGCTGGAGAAATGGGACCTCAAGGTTAATTATTTACGAAACATTATTAAAATTCGATTCATTTTCAATCTAAATCACATTTAATTATAACAGGTTTGCAAGGTTTACCTGGACCAATGGGCTTACAAGGCGATAAAGGATTAACTGGAGAACGTGGAAAAGATGGAGAACAAGGACCACAGGGTAATGTAAAAATTGTCTTCAATAATGTTCAATAACTTATATCCTTTAACAGGTCAACCTGGTCCAAGGGGAGACAATGGATCTCCAGGAAGCCCTGGAAATCATGGACCACCAGGTCCACCCGGAAATGATGGTTAATATTCTTATTTGCATAGAAAGATAACGTATTACTCATTGCTTTGTTTTCAATTTCATAGGCGAGCGTGGACCCTCAGGACAACCTGGCCCTCCTGGCTTCCAGGTTGGAATGAAATAATAATGAATTTAACGATTATCAATCAAATTTTAATCATGTTAATTTTAGGGGCTTCCTGGTTCTCCTGGAACTCAAGGTTTAGCAGGAAAAGATGGACAACAAGGTAATTTAATGGTAAAGAATTTTATTCGTTTATTCATCATTTATTTTCCTTCAGGACCACCTGGAAATCCTGGTCAAGCTGGAGCTCCAGGAAACAGAGGTAATTATTCACAGTACATGAACATTATGAATGTTTTTTCTAAAATTTTAACACATAGGAGACAGAGGCTTCCCAGGAGAAAGGGGACCGACAGGATTACCTGGTCTTCAAGGAGCTAAAGGAGAGACTGGAGTTCAAGGTTCAGATGGTCCACCTGGACCACCTGGTGCTGTAGGAATGAAGGGACATCAGGGTATTAATTTTTGATATGAAATCAATTTCATTCAATTTATTTGAAAATAAAAATCTTTATCATCTTAAGGTTCACCTGGAATGGTTGGAATACCTGGTATCAGAGGTCCATCAGGAATTCCAGGAGAAAAAGGAGAAAGAGGATTAACTGGAAACCAAGGTCCCGAAGGTCCACCAGGAAGAATCGGAGAAAGGGGACCACAAGGAATAGTGGGTCCACCTGGACCTCCAGGAGAGCCTGCTGAAAGGTATATTTTAAAAATAATAACACTTATGGTAATATCATTAAAAAGAACTTAAATATTAATTTTATTAATACTCATAAATCATTAAATTTTTTATCCAACAATTTCATCATATTCATCTATGTCATCTGTGCCACCAGCATCAATTTCTGCATCAGTTCCAGGATTTATTACAGCTGGATATCCAGGATGGCCACCTCCATCTTCAGGAGACACTAAAGCAACTCCGTCACTTCCAAACTTCATGCAATCAAATTCTCTGTTATGATTAGAAAATGTATTTAATAACATAAATTTTAAACAGCTTTTATTCACCTGTCAATCAGATCAAAATCTCCTACTGTTGCTGTTACATCTAAACATAAATGCATGTTACGTCCAACAAAATATATGTCATGAAATCTTGCACACATTTCAATTAAACGATCGAATCTGGGTGGTGATACACAGATTGGTCTGGGATTCTTACCACTCATTGTATTTTTGTATAAAACATTATTATTGAAAGTCATTCGAAATTCAAACGAAAAATCTTCAGGAATGTATTTTATTTTCATACAACCTTTGTTATTAAAAAAGAAACCTCCAATGCAACAACTACATATTCCATTTTTACATTCACAAGGAATTCGAGATTGAACAGCTTCTACTGGATCGCCATTTATTGGTGGTACCTGTCGACTTCCCAATAATTCTTTTGATATTCCATCTGTATGAGTAATTTGTAAATCTTTTGAAGAAATGCTTGCAATACTTTTTATCAAGTCATTATTTTCAGAAGAAAGTAGTTTGTCTTTATGTTCATAAATGTGAACACAATTTGCATGAACAATCAAAACAAAAACAAACAAAAATGATAAGTCAATTCCACTCATTTTTTAACTTTCACTTTAACAAGAAGAAAACTTTCGTGTTGATACTATGCTTATGAAAGAAAAAATAATATGCAAATTTAAATATTTCTTCTTTCTTCGTCTTGAACTTGACCAAGACTGCACATCTACTGAGAGTTTTCTGAATCGCGACATGAAATTTAAATAATGAACAGTCACTCTTTCTCTTTTTTTATCTCACAAACCATATTTTATGTGAGTAATCTTTCGCATGCTTAACATGACACATTTTATGCTGAATGATCTAAATTGATGTTTTATTAGCGTTTCATTTATTTTCAAGCATATTTTATTCATTTGAATTTATTTATATTACAGAGGTGAACAAGGTGCTCCAGGTCCTCAAGGTGAAACTGGTGCCCCAGGAGCGCTAGGTAAATTTATTTTGATTCACCTTTAATACATTCTTAAAAAAAAGATATTATTTGAAAAGGCGAGAGAGGTGCACAGGGAGCTCAAGGTTTGCAAGTAAGTTAAATGAAAAAGTAATTTTCGATAATTTAATATAATAATTGAACCATCAAGGGATTCCCTGGAAGTCCTGGAGCTGTTGGTTTGCCTGGTGCCAAAGGAGAGAGAGGATTCTCTGGAAACAAAGGTGATCAAGGAAGTCCAGTAAGTAAAAAATAAAATAAATGTTAGGTATATTTAATTGAAATGAAACGATATTATTAGGGAGTCGCAGGTGTTCCTGGAGAACAAGGGTCAATGGGGCTGGTTGGAGCCACTGGTCCTAAAGGAACTAGAGGGGAACCTGGCCTTAGAGGTGAAAGTGGTTTGATGGGACCACCTGGAAGACCAGGTATAACCTTTTAATGACATGTTTGATAAATATAATGAAGCAATAATTTATCTTTGAATAAAACCATATAGGCGAACCGGGACAAGTTGTAAGATTAAATTTTTGAACATTTTCATTCAATTACTAATGAATATATTTTTAGGGAGCTCCTGGTAGTCAGGGACAAATTGGACATCCTGGACCACCTGGTATTAAGGGTGCTGCTGGTGAAAATGGACGACCAGTAGATATTCCCTTTATTTAAATTTTGATCATTTTTTATGAAAATCATTCATAGGGTAACCCTGGTGCACAAGGAAATCCTGGACCAATGGGTCCTGAAGGTGCTAAAGGTGAACATGGTAGTGATGGTCCACAGGGATTGCCTGGAAATCAAGGACCACCTGGACCAACCGGCGATAGAGGATTACCAGGATTACCTGGCGCAACTGGTTCTGTTGGTCAACGAGGAGCAAGAGGACCACCAGGTAATTAGTTCTTAATTTATACATAACAGTCGTTGCAAATTCAATTATTTTCAGGTGAATTTGGAGCTCCTGGAAAAGAAGGAAAGGAAGGTCCAGCTGGAGTTCCAGGTCCACAAGGAGATCAGGTAATTAATTAGTTGTTTATAAATAATGTTACATACGTTAATGAATCAATTCAATTATTATTTATTACATAAATAAGGGATTACCTGGACCCGTTGGCTTACAAGGACCTGAAGGTAACCTAAATGATATTAAAATAAATTTAGATTTTGCATTAACTGTAATTTAAATATAGGACCTTCTGGCAAACAAGGGCCACCTGGCATTGCTGGTCGTCCTGGTGATAAAGGACCTCAAGGTCAACATGGAAACGCAGGTGCACCAGGAAACCCTGGTCTTCCTGGACCACCAGGATCTATCGGGCCAATTGGATTAACAGGCATGTTTGAAAAATAATTGAAATGAAATAAAATATATAATAGATTTTTTCAGGAGAAAGAGGTTTGAGGGGAGAACATGGACCACAAGGTATTGATGGGCCTATTGGACCTAGAGGAAAATCTGGACCTCCTGGAAACGAAGGAGCTAAAGGTGACAGAGGTGACAGTGGTGCAAAAGGATCTAAAGGGCATAGAGGTCTTGTTGGTTTACAAGTAAGAAGAATTTTAAGTTTTGTTGTATTATTTTACAGATTAATCTTATTTTTCATTCATCAGGGTTTGCCTGGAAGTCCTGGTATGCCTGGTGAGAAAGGTTTGACAGGAAATTCAGGATTACAAGGTAACAAACATTATCATTATTTTCATACTTTGTTTGCAATGTTTCATTGTCAATAAGGTCCTCCTGGCGAGTCTGGTCCTAGAGGTCCACCAGGACGTGATGGTGGTCTAGGCCCTCAGGGTATTTCTGGCAATATAGGTCCACGTGGACCACCTGGAGGCGAAGGAAAGCCTGGACCACTTGGATCTCAAGGGTATTTAAAAATTCGTTTCATAAATAACTTTTTACTAAAATTTTATTTTTAAAGGCCTCCTGGACCTCCTGGCCCAGCTGGTGAATCATTGGGATATGATGCAGCCTCTTTAGCAGCTCTTCTTGGTCATGGCGCTAATACACAAAAGGGACCCGATCCAAACGATGAGCCATTAAGACAATTGAGCGATGATGATAAGAGAGCAATTGTATTGAAAGCTTACGAAAATCTCAAAGTTCGTTTTGAGAAATTCAAGAAGCCGAATGGAGAAAAAACTTATCCAGCAAAGACTTGTCGTGACCTCGCAGTAGCTTATCCAGAATATGAGTCAGGAAACTATTGGATTGATCCAAATGATGGTGACATAAGAGATGCCATCTTAGTGTACTGCGATCTTAAAAGACGTGCATCATGTGTCGTCCCAGCTCCAATGAAATCAGATGAAATCAGCTATCAAGGAAAAGAACCTGAAATCTGGTTGAGCGAAATTCCCAGAGGAATGAAAATGAATTACAAAGCAGATAGCAATCAGCTTGGTTTCTTACAACTTCTTTCATCTCATGCAACTCAAAATGTTACTTTCCATTGTAAAAAGACAGTAGCATACTTTGACAGCACTAAAAATAATTACAGACGTGGTCTTAAACTTTTGACATGGAACGATAATGAACTTCTTCCAAAGGGACCTCAAAGACTGCAATACGACACCATTGAAGATGGTTGTAGAAGTCGTAGAGATTCGTGGTCAAAAACAGTTATTTCTTACACTACTGAAAAATCTTCAAGACTTCCACTCACTGATATCGCTGTGAGAGATATTTCTGAATCAGGTCAAAAGTTCTGGGTTGAAATAGGACCCGCTTGTTTCTATTAAGTAGTTAATTAAAATTACAAAGTTTTTCATTTCCCTTCTGGAAACAAAAATGATGTCAAAACTTTACTTTTTTCTGAAAGCTCGACCAATTATCAAATTTTTTATTTTCTGTTTAATGCTGCCAAAATAATTTTGAATCAGATTAAATAAAACAAAAACTGTGTAGCTGATTACATTGTAAGAACTGTTACAACCATTGTTTTAATAACAATCCATCCTTCTTCTAAAGTTTGTTTCAGATATTCAACTGGAACAGCAAATCCCAAGTCTTCTGCACCAAGTTCGAGAGTATACGCAAATGGAATTTTCATAACATCAATAGCATAATCGTCACTTCCACCGGCAGCAACATATAAACTAAGAAACATGATTATAATTTGAAATTGTTTTTCTTCAAAAATGATTCATATATACCTAGAACCTGATTGATCAGGAATGAAAATCGTTCCAGTCTGACCTTTAATTTCATAAGCTGCAGCTTGAGCTACTTGATCTAATTCCCTATCTCGTGCATGCTTAGCTGTTGTATATCCATTTGGATATAAAATTGTGTTGCCATAAGAATGAATTGAAATGTACATTTTACAGGACTTTTTAACCTTCTCCATAAGGTTTTGAATTACTTTTGTTTCTGCCTCTGAAAATGGCATTGAACCTCGATAAACGTTGCTACAAGGCTTGAGTTCTTCAGTGCCTTTATAAATTTTATAATAATTTAATAAATTAAGAAATCGTTGGAAAATCAAAACTTACCACTTCGCCAATGGATGTCAAAATTTCGATTTCCATCAACTCCAATGCAACTGCTTTCAGGATTTTTGCTTCTTGTCTTACGCCATAAACTTTCTTCTGTTCGACTGTATTCATAACCATCAGGGTTGGCTGTTGGAACAATAACAAACGTGGCATTGAATATGATTCCGTTGCTATCCATTGCCGCTTCTTCACATAATATCCTAAGCAAATATAATCCCATCGATCTAGCATGCCATTCACGAGCATGCATTCCAGCTTCAATCATCATTACAGGATTGTTAGGTTTGCTAGCATATTTTACAGTGACAGATTTTATTTCTCTCTTTTCATAAGACAAACCTTCAGTCTTAACTTCGACTGAAATTTTAGAATTTCTCGCTTCGATTTCCTTTGCAAGTATTTCAATATATTCGTTTCCTTCGTCATAAGAAAGATAACGTTTAGTGATTGTGTCAGCATCTAAATGCAGAAACGATCTTCTGCGACTATTAACACTTTCTCTAGAATTTGGATTGAATTCTTCGTAGTTGCTAATATCAAGCTCATTTATGAGAGAATAAATTTCTGGCCATTTACAAACTCCAAACGTAAAAACAAACGAAGTGTTAAGTCTCGCGGCTTCCTTCTCTACTGTAATGTCCCATTCGTTTGCTTTTTCTTTTAACTCTAGCCAAAATTTCAATTCATTCTCTCCATCAAGACGAACTTTCAAAGCTCTTTGTCTAGTGAAGTGAATGACGTTTAAATATTTATTCAATATAAAAGATTTTATCACTCACTCTTTACAAACTTCATCGCAAATTGCCAAAGTCAACAAGCAAGACAAAATATTAAAATTTGCAATAAAAAAATTAAAATTCATTGTAAAAATTATCAACTTTTCAATTTGAGTAGTTAATGGTTAAACTTGACGTTTATAAATAAATTCCCAAATATTTTTCTCATATTAAAAACAAAGCATGACAATTAATCTGACACGGAAAATTTAATTTTGGAACAAAAATTATACTGAAATGAATGTGATTTGGTGTGAAAATTTTCATCACCACTTAACTAGCGACGACATTTAAATGGAACTTAAATAAACTTAAATGGGACTTTTTAATCGAAACTTTTTTGTGCTTTCTTGACATACATATCATAACTAATTATAATTCTCGCCAATATACAATCCCATTGCACGATATCCGTAAAAGATTCCCTTCACGAGGTCAAAAACCATGTCTTGTGGATAGTCGTGATGGTTGTATTCACTTGGAGGTAATTCGATGGTGTAGGCAAGTTTTGCATCTGCATAAGCTAAAGCGTAGTCGTCAGAAGCACCATTAGAAGTGTATAAAATATCTGCACTATTCCCCACTTCAAATAATGTCTCAGTAGCCAAATAAACTTCGTCTGCCCATAAATGACCCAAATAATCATGTTCCTTCCAATTCATCACATAAACACCAAAATCGAAGCCGAATGGCCACAACACTTGTGGACCCGCAGAGTGAACACTTAAATACAATTTTAAGTTATATTTGAATGTTTTCATGTAGTTTGCAACTGCAAAAGTTTCTGGTTCTGATAGTGGATGCGATCCTGGGTAGTTTAATGTTGAACACTAAGTAAAACAATTTTTAATTATTAAACATTTATCAAGTTAAAAACTTACGCTGTTCGGAACTTGTCTCCATGCGTATTCATAATTTCTGTTTAAATCTACTCCAGTACATGTGTAATTGACAAGTCTTCGATTTTTCCGCCAAAATCTGTCTTCAGTTTGTGTGTAGACATAACCATCAGGATTAACATTGGGAATGAACACCCAATCGACTTTCTCAAGAAGTTCATCACGAACTGTTGCATTAGTGACGAGTTGATCAATGAAATATAAAACTGTATGTGGACCAACCCACTCTCGAGAATGAGTTCCAGCGTCAATGAATATTATTGGATTCTTTCCAAACTCCAAAGCACTTGAAATTCGTAATCCAATGATATCTCGACCTTCAATTGACTTTCCTATGATTTCACGTTTGACCAGATTAGGATGTAATTGCGCGAGTGTGAGCGTATAAGTTTCCATTTCTTCAAAACTCCAATAAAGCTCAAAATTTGGGTTCCTAATTCCATCAGATAAAACATTTCTCTTTGATCGTTTTCGAAGATTTCTTTCTTCTTGAATTGATGATTCAACGTTATCAAGAATCAATTTATGTTGAATTTCATTTGATGATAGAAAGTCTAGAAACGAATCTTCGATATGTGGTGACACCATAATCCTCCAAGGTTTTCCACTGCCCTTCTTCGTTAAGAAATCAATATCAGCCTTATATTCCCATTTCACAAGCTCATCCACGTGATCACGTTCGGGTGTTACATCATAAATTTTATAACTGCATAAATGAGAAGTTTTCATTAAAAAATCATCTGGAGAAACATAATTTTGCTTATTACTTTGTGTAATCTTTCAAAGCTGAAGTAAAGAGAAAGAAATTGAAACACCAAATAAAAAATATTTTTAAAATCATTTTCTGTTTAATTTTCTTTAAAAAATTCTTGCTTCATCAAGCGATGAATGAATACTACAGACAAGCATTTAAAATTCAATTAAGTCTCATCAATTTAATCAATGTTATTTATTCTTATCTAAACTGAAAATGTCTCTTAATTGTAGTTGTAATGTGCTCCGATATACAATCCAAATTGGCGATAGCCAAGGAATGTTTCTACTGCTAAATCGTAAACTTTATCTTGTGGAAAATCAAAACCTGCACTTCCACCACCTGTCAACTCAAGAGTGTATGCTAAATTCGCGTTCGCATGAGCTACAGCATGATCATCAGAAGCACCATTAGCTGTATATAAAATGTCAGCACTATTTCCTACACGATATTCTTTTCCTGTAGCTGCTCTTATCGCATTAGCCCAAAGTTTCCCAACTTCATCGTGTTCTCTCCAATTTTTAATATAAACATTGGAAGCAAATCCAAAAGGCCAAAGCACGTAATCACCGTACGAATGTGTGCTCAGATACAAGCGAAGATTAAATTTGAAGCTTTCCATGTAAGAAGTAAGAGCGACAGTTTCAGGTTCTGACAAAGCATGTGGTCCAGGATATCCAATTGTTGGGCACTAGAAGAATTAAAATTAATTTGGTTCAAACCTTTTGAGATGATCTTCATTCAACTTACGCTATTTGCAGAATATCTCCAAACATATCCAAAATTTCGATTTAAATCAATTCCAGTACATGTGTAATTAACATAACGACGATTTTTACGCCAAAGTCTGTCTTCTGATTGTGAGTAAACGTAACCTAATCGAAGATTGCCATTTAAATTATTTAACATCTTTTAAACTTTTTATAATTTATCACTCACCATCTGGATTTGCATTTGGCACAATTACCCAATCAACTCTGTCGAGAAGTTCAGACGTGACTGTAGCGTTTGTTACCAATTGATTGAGTAAGTAAAGAACAACATGTGGACCAACCCATTCTCTGGCGTGAATGCCGGCATCAATAAAAATTATCGGTTTCTTTCCAAACTCTGTGCCACTTGAAACTCTCATTCCAAAAATATCGCGGCCTTCAATAGACCGGCCGATAACGTCACGTTTCACCAAATTCGGATATTGTTGCGCAAGACTGATTGTGAAAGATTCCATTTCTTCATAGCTTAAGAAAAGTGTAAAGTCTGGTTCACCATTCGCTTGAAATGCGCTTCGTTTTGACCTCGAGTGTCGAATTAAATTCGCATCTCTATCCAACGATGACTGAACGTCTTCAATAATTAATTTATTATCAATTCCTTCCTTATTCAGGAAATTAACGAAAGATTCTTCAACTTCCGGTGACACCATAATCCTTGATGTTTGATCAACTCCACGAGACATCCAGAAATCAATTCCCATTTGAAATTCCCATGCTTTTAAATCTTTAATTTGTTCTCTGTTAGGTGTTACGTCATACACTTTATAACTTTAGGAAATAAGTTTAATTAAATTTCTCATTAAATTTTATATAGAATAGAAGTTCACTCACTTTGTGTAATCTTTGGCAAGCACGAAGGAAAAAATTGAAAATAAAATTACCAACTTCATCGTAAAATTTTTATTACAATTCTCATCGAAATCCAAACAACAACTGGGAGACTCAATCACCTAATAAAAAAAGTTGCCAAATATGTGTACATATGAGACTTGAAAAGATTGCTTTTTGAAGATAGAGTTGACTGCTTGAAATATCTTAAATCACTGTGACTTCGAGTCAAAGCATACGCGAGTAAAAACAAGTGATAAGAAATATTATTGTTCAGCACACTTATTGAGTTCAATTATTAGATTACTCACTTCATTATTATCAAAGAAAGCTAAATTTCAATGAAGGTGAAGTAATGCGCAACATTAAGCTCAAAGATTTAATAAATTGGCGATATTAATTTGAAAAAAAAAGAGTTCATTCTAAGATTGATTCGATTTGATAACATTCAATTAATTACAATAAAAAGATCAAAGTTTTATTGACATTTATTAATTATCGTTTGATCATGGAAAAACCAGTAATTTCAACGTTAATTATAAGTTGCAGCAATGTACAATCCCAAAGCGCGATATCCCCAGAAAGTCTCACGAACTAAATCTCCAAGTCGCGATTCTGGGAAATCAAACCCAGTTATGCCACCGCCAGTTAGTTCAAGAGTATAAACCAAGTTTACTCGTTGTTCTCCTGCCATGTGATCGTCACTCGCTCCAAAAGCATTTCCCAAAATATCGGCAATGTTTCCAACACGATAAACCTTTCCAGTCTGTTCTCTTATAGCGTTTGCCCACAGTAAACCGACCTGATGATGTTCTTCCCAATTAGAAATCCATCCAGATGACCCTGAGAATCCCCATGGATATAAGACCATGTCACCGAAACTATGAACGCTCATGTATAAACGAACATTGGCACGATGTTGAGTCATGTAATTGTTTAAGGCAAGCGACTCGATTTCGGAAAGTGGAGTAAGTCCAGGGAAGGTTAAACCGCCACACTTAACAATGACATTTTGATTACAAGATTCACTTGAATAAATGAATGACTACTTACAGTATTTGGATTGGGTGCCCTCCAACTGTATCTGAAATTCCTGTTTAAATCAACACCAACGCAAGTAGAATTGATTCGATGACGATTTTGTCTCCACAATCGACTTGAAGTGTAAGACCAAGTGTAACCATCTGGATTCAAGTTAGGAATAATAATCCAATCAGCTTCACCAAGCATTTCAACTCTTGTGACTGGATCTTCAACCATTCTGTGAATGAAATACATCAACGTTGCTTGACTGACCCATTCTCGTGCATGCATTCCACCGTCAATAAACATCAGCGGTTTACGTCCAAAGCCACCGATTGAAAATTTCAAAGCGAAAACATCTCGACCCTCAAATGATCTTGCAATGACTTCACGTTCAACAAATTGTGGATATTCAATGGCTAAACGACGACAGAACAAATCCATCTCATCAGATGTCCAAAACACTCCAAAGTCGGGTGATGACAATGGCTCGATTGCAGATGTTTTTCGGCTTAATCTTCGAACTTTATCTTCTTCAAAAATGTGTTCAAGTTCACCAACGTCTTCGATATAAACTTCGTAATCAAATTGTTCTGACTTCAAAAACATCTCAAAGGCGTCTTGTAACAAAGGTTGCACTGCTATACGTGAAACCGTCCCAGCAGCGCCAGCTCTCCAAAAATCAACTCCTTCTGCATCTCGCCATTCTAAAAGTCCGTCGATATTCTTCGAATTTGATGTCACGTCATAAACTTTAAAGCTGAATAAATTTATAAATATTTTAATAAACGTTGAAATGGAATTTTTCACTCACTTTTTCAGGTTCTCAAAACCGAAGGAAAGGTTTATGAAAACAACAACGAAGCAAAGCACTAATAAGGTCTTCATTATGATTCGACAGCAAATATTTAATGAATAAAATCGTCCATGAAACGACGACCGTGTTTTATACTTTTAGGAAAATTCTATTTTTGATCATTTAAATCAACATTATAAAATTTAAGATTTATAACGATTTCAAATGATTGATTTAAAAGTTTTCGCTTCTGTTTCTGAAAAAATATTTTTAACTTTCAATGATCGAATTCGTCATCTTTGCATTATAAATTTTGCTTTAATGTTTAATACTTTTGTGATTAATTTTCATAATTCAATTATATTTATCAGAAACAGCTCGTGTCATGCTAAAAATACCGACAGCTGATTCCTTCACAATTCTAAGAATGCTGTTGGGTGGTGGATCGAAACCAAATGCACCACCTCCAGGAAGTTCCATTGTTATTGAAATGGGAATATTTTCGACAGCGAACATGTAATCGTCACTTCCACCGGCAGCAGCATATAAAATATTTGTTGAACTGCCAACAGTGTACGTTGTACCTGTCGAGTTCTGAATGGCTTCAGCTCCAATTCTAGCGATATCATCGATATCTCTCCATGTTTCAGGTAAATCACTTGTCCATCCCCAAGGATACAATAATAAATTTCCATACGAATGCAAAGTTAAATAAAATTTGCAACTTTCTCTCAAATCTCTGACGGCGCTACGAAGTAATTGAGTTTCAACTTCAGAAAAAGCTTCCACACCTCTATAAATTTCTGAACAAGACTGATCGGACGCTCCAACTTCTCCCCAATGATAATCGAAATTTCTATTTCCGTCAGTTCCATAACAAGGTCCCGAGTTGAGACTTCGAGTTTTACGCCACAATCGATTCTTATCGTGAGTGTATTGATAACCATCGGGGTTGACAACCGGCATGATAGTGAAATCAAGTTCGTTCAGCAATCTCGAATAGTCGGTCGTTGGATCAACAAGTTGATTAATTAAATAAAGTGCAGTGGCTGGTGAAATCCATTCTCGAGCATGAATGCCAGCATCGATGAAAATTGAATTTTTCTTCCGACCATCGCCATTCGTTATTGTAATAATTTTAATATCGCGTCCCTCAAATGATTTTCCGACCGTTTCAACTATAATTGCTGAATGATTAAATAATTCTTCCTGTAGATAATCAAGATATTTGTTAATCTCACTATGTTGGTAATATCGGTCGAATGTGATTAAAGAATCAGTTCGAATATTTTCCAATTGAGCTTGACGTTCCAATTCAAATGATCTGAAAGAATTCTTCAAGTTCTTCATGTTAAACTTTCAAATTTTCTTACTTTTCTAAGTCATCTATTAAGATTCGGTAACGCATTTGTTTCTCATTAAGAAATCTTTCAAACATTTCTTGTTGCTTTGGCTTAACCATAACAGTTGAAACTGTTCCAATCATTTTAGGCAACGACCAAAAATCAAATCCTTCATCACCATCAAATGATTTCAAATATTTTGCATCACTTTCAGTTGTCACTTCAACTTCATAAACTTTGCAACTAGTAAATGAAAATAAGTTAAGAAATAAGTTTCTTTAAAATTCAATTCTTACCCAAAATAAGATAAATTTTCACATTTTATGTTGCTAATGCTGAAAAGCAGCATCAACATAACTGAAGGCAGAAAAATCATTTCTGTTTTGAGTCTTAAACGGGAGCTTAATTGACACTCAAATTAAAATGATATGAATGATATTTTTATGGCGTTGCTTGCGGCTTTTTATATTCAACGCTTCACGCATTTGATGTGAAGAAGCATATTTGATAAGAGTTAGAAATGAAAAGTATCGCAAGAAGGGTGCGAGAGAAATGCACAACATTATCGTGATTTCAAACCAATGCGGATCTGCTTCTTTTCACACTTATCACTTTCGATGTCTCAATGCTCTATAAAGGTGTCATCTACATGTTCTTGTCAAGTGTTTGTACCGGTTGAGATTCTCTCTCTCGAGAGAGAATATCTTAGTCAGTGTAGAGCGAGCCGCGGTCGAGTAAAGACGCGGAAAAGAATAAAAACATAATCAAAATAATATATATCGTCGCATTCATCGTTACCGAGTCAGGAGGCATTCTAGCGACGTTACACTGGTGTCAGCGACAAAGGAACCCAGTAGAACAGTGAAAAAATAGAAAAAAAATACAAAAATATGAAAACTTGGCAATGAGCGGCCATCTTTATTTTTTTAACCGCGCGAATTTTATTAAAAATTGTTAGGGAATAAATACCTAGATTGGTTTTTATAGTTACTAAACATTATCTGTGATATACAATGCCTTGTGAATCACCATTGTCATTTGAAATTGGGAAAAGAACATTATTAGAAATAGAAAAACATACAAATTATGAACGAATACCTTTAACTTGAAGAAATAATCAAACAAATGATGATGAAAATGAAATTATTATCAACATTCTTTCAAATGGATTTACCAGAGAGATTCAGAAATGCAAGCCAGCGTGGAAAAATGAAAAGGAAATTTGAAAAATCTAAAAGCAATCCGACATTCAGAGGAGATGACGNAAACCAATGCGGATCTGCTTCTTTTCACACTTATCACTTTCGATGTCTCAATGCTCTATAAAGGTGTCATCTACATGTTCTTGTCAAGTGTTGTTGATGTAACAAAATATTATAATATTCTTACACTAAAATCTTATTTCATGTCATTACTGAGACAGTTTGGTGAAAGTTTGACACATTCTGTCATCAGAAGTAGGAAAATTAAAATTCTGAAAAAATATTCAGTGGAATCACACAAACAATGTTTATTGAAATATTTAAGTTTTTATTCACTTAAAGAACTTTTAATTGTTTTTTGACTTTGTTGATTTTGTTGACTTTGTTAATATGGAAATATCCTGAGAGAGAAATTAAAACCAAAAATATTTTAGTTGAAGTTGAGATATTGAACTGTTTATTGAAATTCATACAATTACAGATTTATTGAGCAGTTCCGCATTCATTTTTTGAAGGTGGTGGTGAAGATGAAGATGAATAGGACTCTTCTGATGAAGATGAATAGGACTCTTCTGATGAAGATGAAGAGTACTCTTTATCTGACCATTCTGGATAAGCTTCTGGTGGACAATCATATCTGGGACAACAAACTCCTTCTGTGTAGGTTTTCGTACACTTACTTACGTCAACATCTTGTGACAATAAATCGTGGTAACCACAGTCACTAAACCAATAGAATTCTATTTCCCCATTGTTGCAATAATATTTTTTACAGCTCCCATCCTCGTAAACGTGGGCTCCATTTGGATATGTTTCTCCTTCGTATATGCAAGGTGGACCTGGTGTAGGTCCAGGAGGTGACTCTGTGATTAAGAATAACAAAAACTTATATTAAATCATTATTCAAAGACATTAAAAGTAATTTTTCGTACGAAATTGACCAAAATCACTGGCTTCACTATAAAGTTTAAAAAAAGTTAAGATACTTGTTCGTAATAGAATTAAATAAGACTTACACATCAGTTGAACCGATGGAAACTATTAAGAAAAGCACAAAAGAGTTGAACTTAATCATTTTAAAATTTCAGTTTTGTTGCTGCGTCTTCTCAAGTTGAAACTTCAAAAACAAATGAGAACACTTTATAGTCACCTCGAATAAAAATATGCACGATATTGGCTTTGTGAGAAATCAAAATATCCCTGGCGTTTTATTAAAAAAAATTATTGTATGAATCGTGGCCCACGATTCGTGGGTCATTAATTTATAAATTAATGATAAATAAATTAGTCTCGAGCTTTTGTGTGCTAATGTCAGGAATTTTCGTTATAGGTCTGCATCCAGCCGCTGCAAGGATTCTTCGTCAATTTTAATAAAAGCATTGAGACTCACATATGCGCAGCCTACTCGTCCTTCTCCATTTGGGTTTGATCTTTGATACGAGCCTACAGTGTAATTGTGCTCTCAGAGGACGATTTTGCTTAAAGAGTGCAAACTTTTGCTTTGACATTCGTTACATTTTCTTCATATATGTATAAGCAATAAAAACGTTTGAGCAATTTAAATACGATGACTTGTCATCTAAAGCAAATGTTTTTACGTAAAAAAAATTATCTGAGACGTTGAAAGTCCAAGAAAAATTATCAAAGTTTGAATTAATCTTCTCATATTATGAATAACTTTACAAATCATATTTAACCCAATCAACATTCGAAAGATAATATTTTCTATATTGGCTAGTAATTTATGACCAGACGTATGAGATTTGGGGAGAATTAATTGATAATATTCTGTCTGTGACTGACGAAACGTGTACGACACACAAATTAATTGAGAGCATGTCATTGCAAAGTTCTTTGAACATTATCGTATCTCCAAATTTATTGTAGATATTAAATATGATGTTAATATGATAACAGTTTCATTTCACAATATATATTTGATTGAAAATATCTTCACTCATTCACAGTTAACTTCATTTGTGAAAATGTGTTTGACATTACGAAATTTGCTGATTTTTTTGGCATTTAACTTTGTTGCGTGCTTCGAGAAATCGTATGAAAACTTTAAAGTTTATTCAGTGTTTTGTGGCACTACACAAGATGTCAAAACTTTGCTATCATTTGAACACAATCCGATGATTGATTTCTGGAGTTTGCCTGGCTTTCAAAAGACGACAAGCATTCTAGTCGATCCAGAATTTCAGGAAGAGTTTGAAAACTTTTTAACATATGGAAAGTTCAATTATGAAATTTTAATTGAAAATGTTGGGAAGTTAGTCATCAATTTTTTTTTTCTTTTGAATAAAAAAGAGTCTATGAACGAGCGTAGGAAACATTTTGATAATAAATATTCTGTTTCATCATCGTATCCATTTAGAACCATGAAAAGTCGTACGTACAACAAATTAAAATTCCATTTCCCTATCGGAAATTTCACTAATACAGTAAATCGTGATTTTTCCCGCTACTGGACGTTAACCGAGGTAAATTTAGGGAGCAAAAAATTTCTAGTTTAATATTTTCTGCAGTTTGATTCACCATCAAATCAAAGTGATGAGTTATCTTAAAGTTTAAATTGAATATTAAATCGAATCAGGTGTGAATATTTAAAAGGGTTTTTGTGTTGCTGTTAGCAAATTCCAAGGAAAATATTTCCTAAATTCAATGTTACAATATGTTGTGATGAAATTCCGATTGAAACTAGTACATGATGAAACTTTTCAGATCGAAGATTATGTAAACTTTCTCTCACAATCGACATCTTTGTATGTTCGAAAAGTGATAATTGGAAAGTCATACGAAGAACGAGACATTTATGCATTGACAATATCATTGGATGAGACGGTTGGAAATCAACCAATTTTGTTCATCGACTCAGGAATTCATGCTAGGTAGCAATAAATTGAAAAGCTCGTAACCATAAGCAGGAAGAAATTCATTGAGAAATTGTTTTTAGGGAATGGGCTGGGCACATGTCGGTATTGTATTTGCTTTATCAGCTTGTAGAAAATTATTCGGAAAACTTGGAATTGTTGGAAAATGTTGATTGGGTCGTTGTACCCGTTGTTAATCCAGACGGCTACGAATACACATTTACAAATGTAAGTTTAATTCCTAAAATAATGAGAATAAGTTTTGTGACACTTTCAATTTAGGATCGCTTTTGGCGTAAGAATCGTCGGCCAATTGATGAAAATTGTGTGGGAGTTGATATCAATCGAAATTTCCGCTATGGTTGGAAGGCTGCTGATAATGGGACAACAGTGAGTTGATAAAAAGATTTAATTTAATTTATTCATCGAGTTTATTTCGCTCCTTTAGCCATGTTCGTTCACTTATCCGGGACCATCACCACATTCTGAGCCAGAAACAAAAGCTTTAGCGGACTTTATGCTACAATTTAGATACAAACTAAAACTTTATGTGTCTATGCATTCATACGCTTCTTTTCTGCTTTACCCGTTTTCGTTTGATTTCATTTATATCTCAAATTGGAAGCAACATCAAGAACTTTGCAAAATCTACGTCGACACAGTGAATCAAATTACAAAATTTGAACCTTACACGTTTGGTCATTCTGCCTCGGAATTTTATCTTGCAACAGGAGTTTCAGATGACCACGTCATTGGAGAAGCTGGTGCGAGATTGTCAATTGTTATTGAGTTGCCTGGTGGTGGCACTCGAGGTTTCGATTTTCCAGAAGAAAACATTGAAGATTTGATCAAAGAAACATTTGTTGGGTTACGTCAGTTTGGAATTTATGTCGGAAATAATTTTTAAATTTTATTTTTCAATAAACTTTAATGATTGAAATAATAAACAGAAAATATTTTTATGCTTCACTTTGTGCTGTTGGAAGTGGCATGTCAGCTGTATAAAGACCGATTGCTTCAAGAGCGAAGAAGATTTCATCGACAATGCCTTGAATTTGATCTTCGGGAACGTCCCAACCATTCGGTCCACCAGCCCTAGTGAAGATTGTGTAGGCAAGTGGAATGTTGTCACGACCAGCTGCATAATCGTTGCTTGTTCCCGATGCTAAATTGTTGACATTTGCTTCACTTGCCACTCGATAAGTCGCTCCACTTCCTTCCCTGATAGCATTTGCCATAATGTTACCAACTGCAATTCTTTCACGGAAGTTTGGTTGGAATAATTCACTGATTGGGTTTAAGAAATGTCATAAAACAAGTGTTTGATAAGATAAGTTCGAAGAGGAAGAGACAAAAGATTTCAAGTGTCAATTGAAGATATAAGAACATTTGTTCGTTACTTACTTGTTACTTGAGAATGGATAAGCAATGGTCGTATCTGCACCTGTTAAACCGCTTCTAATAGTGACGTAACCACGTTGAATTCGTGCAAAAACGTCAACTGCGAATTGAATTGTTTTGGTTTCTTCTTCGGAATCACCGAAAGGCCCTCGGAAGTTACTACTGCAAGGTTCATCACTTGAACTGAGTGGCAAACCGAAGTTGAAATCAAAGTTTCGTTCGATATTGATGCCAACGCAATCACTGTCGGGAATTGCAGCACGATTTTTAATCCATGCACGATTCTATGATGAATTTTTTTAATTTTAATTTTGTTAGCTTTATTTGGGAAGTTTTTTCAACTTACTCCTTCTGTTCTTGAGAATTCATAGCCGTCGGGATTAGCAACAGGCAAGATAAACCATTCAACATCATCAACAATGTGTCGGAAGTCTTCGTAATGTTCAACTAATTCATGCATCAGATTAACTGCCACCATCACAGATATCCAATCTCGTGCACTTGTGCCAGCAGTCACAAAGATAATCGGAAGTGTTTCCTGTCCGAGATGCTCTTCATTAGTGACACGAAGTCCATAAATTCGTCTACCTTCTTCGGTGCCACCCATGATCTCAACTTTACTGATGTCAGGGAATTCAGCTTCCAATTGTGCCATGTAGTCATAAATCTCATCCAATGACCAATAGCGATCAAAAGCTAACGATCCCAATGGCCTTAAATATTAAAAGTTTTTATTTATAAATTAAATTATTCTTCAAACTTCAACTCACTTCTTCACTGAAGTGACTTCCGATGAAGGCGCTGCAAAAGCAGCTGCCAATAATCCAAGTAAAAATATTCCAATTTTCATTGTTAATCCTTTCAATTGTCAAACTAAATTGAAACCTTTTATCGAACACAACTTGTTTTATATGTTTGTTTATCAGTTATCAAATGGCTAATCTTGAAGAGACCATAAAAAATAAAAAAATCGATTTCCATTGGATTCTTTTAGAAATGTTTTTATCAAAAGTTTAAAATTGCAATTATCTTGTGAAGATATTTCTGTCTAACAAGTTGAAGCAAAGAAACCAACATGAATGACAAGAAAACTTTCAACAACTTGAATAAGAAATACAAAAACATTCTAATGAGTTCGTCAGACTAAATTTTATTCAAAGTTTTATTTACATGAAAAGTTTCTTAAAGTCAACTTTCTCACTTTGACCTGTTGGAACTGGCAAGCCTGCGGTGTAGACACCTAAAGCTTCAAAAGCTAAAAAGACCTCATTTACAATGTCTTCAATTTGATTTTCAGGAACGTCCCAACCATTCGGTCCGCCAGCTCTAGTGAAGATTGTGTAGGCAAGTGGGACATTGTCACGACCAGCTGCATAATCTGAACTTGTTCCCGATGCCAAACCCATGACGTTTCCTTCATTTGCTATGCGATAACGACGACCACTTCCTTGCCAGATAGCGTCAGTCATAATATTTCCAACTCCAATTCTCTCTTGGAAGTTTGATTGGAATAATTCACTGTTTCAAAGTTAAGGTCGCATAAGTATTAGTTATGATAAGTTATCTGAGTATTTCTTATAGAAAAAGGAAGTGATAAACCTATCTGAGTATTCTCATCACTGAATTATCACATTATTAAAAAATTAAGTAATAAAAATATCGATTGTTGACTTACTTATTGCTTGAGAATGGATGAGCTATCAGAGAATGTGCACCAGGTGCACCGGCTCTAAGAGTGATGTAAGCGCGTTGAATTCGGGCAAATGCATCAACAGCAAATTGGACGGAGATGGTTTCTTCTTCTGAATCAGCGAAACGTCCACGGAATTCATCGCTGCATGGGTCATCGTTAGCTCTGAGTGGCAAACCGAAGTTGAAGTCAAAGTTTCGTTCAACATTCACACCAACACATTCACTGCCTTCAGTAACTGAGCGATTTTTAATCCATGCTCGATGCTATAAGGAAAATTTATAAATTTCTTAACGGTTAGGAAACTTCAGCTACCGATTCTTACGCTTGCTCCCCTCGAGTATTCATAGCCATCAGGATTGACTACTGGAATGATAATCCATTCAACATCATCAACAATTAGACGGAAATCTTCATAATGTTCAACTAATTCGTGTATTAAATTTATTGCTGCCATCACAGATATCCAATCACGTGCACTTGCCCCAGCAGTGACAAGGATTACAGGAAGTGTTTCTTGTCCGAGATGTTCTGCATTAGTAACTCTTACACCGTGAATTGGTCTGCCTTCCTGACTTGTTCCAATTGATTCAAGTAAATAAATTTCTGGGAATTCGTCAGTTAATTCATTTAAATATTCAGTGATCTCATCAAAGCTCCAGTAACGATCAAAAGGCAACGTTGCGAAAGGTCTTTGGGAACAATTCACATAAACAATAAATTTAAAAAGATTAAAGTTTAAAACTTACTTCTTTTCTGAAACTGATGGTGCAGCAAGAGCCCCCGCAACGAAAGCGAGCATCAATAGTCCACTTCGCATGTTTATTTCTTAATAGTCAAACCTCTTCAATATTTACAAAGGAAATTAAAAGATTTTGAAGCAGTTTTCCATTTTTATTCACCAAGCTTATCAATTTGGATTTTATACTTAACTTGATACTTTATCAGCTTATTGCATGTATGAAGATTAAAAAGTTGTTAATTAATTACCGGTTGATAAAGTTGCTCTTGTTTTGTGCAACTTTTATTGATTTTAGTGCTTCATGGGAGTCTTACGTTATAATGATTAATATCTCAGATGTTATGTCACACATTGTGTAATTATTTCTCATCAATTATGATTTTCCTTCTTCATAATTTTACCTTCAACATTAAACTTAAGCAACAACTGCAGATTGTTTTTAAATGTTTTTCATTTCAAGCTTTAAATAATTTAATAATTCTTCATCTACCTTGAACTAAAATAAATATTTATTCTATCATCTTTACCGAGTTCATCAACTTTACAGTTTTTCATGAAAGCAAAGAACAAGGTCGCAATTTTCAATCAATTATCATTCAAGGGTTAAGTGATTTGTGTGTTTGACTAGCATCACGAAGTCACAAGACAATTAAACAACTAAAAGTGAAAAAATGTGGAGAATAATGAGTTTGACAATCACTCACCCTTCGTGAAAATAAGTAAACAAACACAGAAACATTTCAAAGCACTCTTCAAACGTAAATGATAATTTTCTTGCTAATGAAATTTTCTAATTTCACACTCAACGGGCCAGAATAATAAACAGAAAAGCAGAACGAGACACAACTTGTTGATGACTGATTGTTGATTTTTATCTTCTTTTGATGATTTTCTATCAAAATTGAAAGCATTTTCATTGCATTCTTAAGAATGTTTTTAATAAAATTTCATTTTGAAAAATCTTCTTTCTTACTTGATTACTTGGTGATAAATCGCACGTGTGGTTGAAGCTCTTAGTCAACTTGATTATTGTTGATGAAGGTTCAGTCATTCATAGTATCATTGTTAACAATAACAATGCATCTGATGAACTCATTTAAAATAATATCTGACTATCAAAGGTCGTTAACATATTTCATAATCTTTAAATACATCGTTGACAGTGTCAAAGTTTCCCAATTTTCCGAATGGTTTCATATAAAACATAACAAACGTGTACACTAAAATTAACTTTAAAATTGTTCTCAGTATAAAAACATTTTTTCAAACATTTTTTCATTCATTCTGTTGGATTTAGTCAAAACAGCCAAATGTCGACTTGAAAAATTAAAAGCAAAAAAGATTAAAAAAATAAAATTTAGTTCAATCATGAATCGATTCACAGCGTTAAGTGTCGTGCTTATAATATTTCACTCAGTTATATGTACGATGGCAGAAACTGGGAAGATAACACCAGTTGCTATTGAGAGTAAATCATCAAATTCTAAATCCGATTTCAAAGTTGAAGGAGCTCGATATCGTGATCCAATTATGCCGGAATATTATGGGAACAGTTTCGATAGAATGCGACAGCAATTTTTAACATCAAATTACGGAAGCTATTCAGGGAATGCATTATCAAATTATGATCGGTATGGTTACAACAGCGGATCTGGAAATAAATTTGGATCGAGTTACGATCGATATGATTCAACATACAATCGAGACAAGATTGGTGTTGGCGTCAGTAAGTCAAGAGATTTGTTTAATGAATTTTAATATTTATTACACTTGCTGTGAATTTAAAGGCCCTTTAGGTACAAATGACAATAAGTATAATTACACACCAGGATCGACTTACGCTCCTGGTTTAGGAAATAATTATGGCGTAGGCAGTTACGGAACTCAAGTTAATGGACCATATCCTGGACCTCCTGGGAATCTTCCTTCAGACATCCACAGTAAAGCATCATCGATCCTTCTTCCATTAGCTGGTGCAGCTTTACTTGGAATCGCAGCTTACACTTTAGTTTCAAATCCATCAGTGCCAAATGGCATCACTGCCAAACCACCGTTGTATGGGAGAAGACGAAAACGTTCACTTTTCGATGAGAAACTTGAACAACATTTAGCCTATCGCGCTCATCTTCGACGACAAAAGAAGAACATTAAATAGGCAATGGAAGACTTGCCTCTGATTACTATGATTATAGACAAAGACAACTGAAATATCATTAAACAAACGAAAAAGCCAAATTATTAAAATGCCTTGAAACTTATCATTTTATGTTATTTATTTATATTTTATGGAAATGTTTTTATCAACCATCGCTAGCAAATTTTCTCTTTCAAAATTTTTTAATTTCATTTTGATTACACAACATTTATCTTAAATGCTTTTAACACTGAAGTTTCCAAGGTTCCTTCCATCAACATTAATAAAATCTTTTTAAATAATTTTTGCAGAAAGAAAATTCTTTTGTTCACTTCTATAATTTAATTAAAGGGCTAAGACTTTGCAATTAATCTTGGAAATAATTCAACATTGAAGAGATACAAGAAAGATGATGAATTTCGTTCTTAGATATTAAAGAGTTGAATGATGAGATGTGATGTTGAATCATAATTATTAAATTAATCGTTATTATTAGAGAAGACTTTAAGTTCAATGATGAATTTCGAGTATCTTAGGCAAGGCAACTGTCGTGAATTGAACATTCTATCCACTCATTTATGTTGATGAAGAAGTTTCAATGTACGACAATGTCTCAGTTTTATCTTCTTTCATTTACAAATACGCAAACACAAACAATTTTTCCCTACTGCAGATAACTTTTTATCTTACTGAACAAAGAGAATAAATAAAAAGGCATAAAAATAGATGAAGAGACCGAATAGATTCAGGTACAGGTGTAGTTGATAGAAATATATTTTCAATCATCCGGATACGTTCCGGTTAAATGCTGAACTCACACATTTTGTTAACATGAAGTGAAATGTATGAGAATATTTGGCCGTGTGCATTTACACGTCTCGTAATCAATCAAAAATGTTCTGAATCCTGATTGAATGCCATTTGGTAAAAAGAAATAAAATGAAAGTCATTCATGAGTTTATCTACTGCTTGGCTTAATTCTTATTTTGCTAAGTTATTATTTAACAAGAAAAAAAAATTAAGTTTGATTTGATAAATCAACAATTAAAATCGAAAAAAACTTCCACTTAAACCGTCATATTTTAATAACTCAAAATCAATGTTCAAAGCATGAAAATTAATTCAATTTCTTTTCAATTTATCTAATTGAATTCATTCATAATTGAACAATAAATTATTCAACTTCTGTTATTTCCAAATGTTTGCTTCTGTTTCTACAAGTAATCAAATGAAAATTTAATCGAGTGGAACAATGAAAATTGAAAAGACTTTGAGATGCCGGCGACACTTTCACACATCATGACAGCTCTAATTGATATTTTTCTTTATTACTCTTTCGTCCATCACTGCGACCATTCGCTTATCTCTTTAAGCAAATGGCTTTTAAAGCTAATTAAAAAAATCAATTTGACAAATGGAAGTAAATTGAAAAGAGAAATCGAGAACGGGGGGATCTGCTCCTTTGAATGTCGTTAATTCGAAGTTTAATTTGGGAAATTATCACGAGACATCAATAAACTGAGTTAATCTTTTCGATTATTTATTATCAAATTAAAAGCATAATCTATTACCTAATAAATGGGCACATAATTGCATCTTTAGTGTTATGCCTTGTACAAATATTGTTTGTGGGTTGTTAAATCAATGCACATGGTCAGAGAATTGTAAACAGAGCAATTCATGATTTTCTCTCTCAGAAAACTTTTCACTTTTATTCTCATTTTGGAGACTTTTCCGGCTCTCTTGAATGTATCTAAACATTTTCCTCACAGCACGTTTTTATTTCTTTCTTTTCACACAAATTCTATTTTCTTTTTTCTTCGTGCTAGAAAAATAATTTTCCCGCATGAAAAGTATTTTCCAAACGACTAGTTAGTCTTCGTTTGTATTTGCACGACTCTAGACGCGTTTTCCTTCGATTCACCGGGAAAATAAAATAAAAATTTTTTTGTTAGAAATATCAAAATTGATAATTTATCATTTGTGAGAAAAGAGTTGAAGAAAATATTGATATACTAATATACGTAATCATACATCGGTTAATAATCGTGTCTACAAAATGTATAATTAATCTAATGTGTTTAAAAATTAAAAGCCAGCCTCAGTGACATCAAAAATATTCTCAACAGATGGAAATTATTGAAATAAACCAAATCGAAAAATCTTTCTTCATGTAAAGATTTTATTAATTCTTATAAAGTGCATAAAAATTTATTTATACCAGGAAGACAAATAAATTCTCACTTATTGTCTCTCAACAACGCTTTGTGAAGTTATAAATGAAAAAAGTAATCCAAAGAAAACTACAAGAAACTTAAATTGAAACGACTGTAATAAAAAAACAAGTCGAAAGTATGTTCATGTTTTAGTACCAGTTGATTAATTAGAATGACATGTTAATCTCTGCAATCAAATAATTCAGTCGAATGATTGAAATTCTTCAACAACGAAAACTTCCCATCAAATTTGTTTTGATGTTTCCTGTCGACTATTTTATATTAGACAAAGAGATAAATCACTTGAATGATTAAAGCAAGAAACAACACATAATTCTACTTTTAGCTACACGAAGAATCTCTTCCAGTTGCGAACATGTCAATTAAATTTTTTTTCATGTTCGTTTTGGTATTTGCAAAACAAATAATCTCGAAATCTTTTTTTCCGAGAAAATTCAAAGCAATTTTTTATTCAAGTTATTAATAAAAGCGAGCTGAATATATTAAAAATTTACGCAAAATAAAATCCATGATATTTAACATGCTTGAAAAACTATAAAAATTGAAATCTGGAAAAAGAAATCTCCAGAAGTTTCGAGTCGTGAGTGTAATTCGATTAGACTCGTGTGATTTCAATTCGTGAAAAAATTTAGTTTTTTATATCGAAAAATGAAAAACATAAATGCGAAAAAAGAAAATATCTGAAAAGTTGTGTATAATAAATTTTACATTTATCTATCACTTTTGGATATTTGTAAAATATTTACATTTATTTTAATAATTTATAAATTTTATTGCCCTTTAAAGTTGATTCTAATAAATTTTAAAATTCATAACTCTCATCATCTCAATTTAATTTGAAGATTTGTCTCAATAAATGTCTTATAAATTAATGTTGTCGTCTTGAAAGTTTTTGCAATGCCAATGACTTAAACACATAATTTAAAATATTCGGTTCCCTTCAGAGAAAGTTGCATTAAATTGCCAACATGCTGAATGATGTAAATTTATGCTATTAAATAAATAGTAAAGTGGAAGAAAAAGTTACTGTGAAATTTTCCTTGAAACATTAAATAGATTTGTTTCAGCTCAGTTCCCTTTAAAAAAGCAAACTTCAGATTCAATTAAAATTTTATGGTCATTAAATTTGAGGTGATGAAAAACCTTCGACAAGTTGTTTGATGTTGTTGAAGAAAATTAAAAAATTTTAATATGAACAGCGATTTTCAATACACACAAAAATGAATCATTAAAAGAAGATTGAAAAAAGATATTCCTAACATGAAACCGATGGGTAATTTCCAACTGAATTGTGTAAATCAAAGTGTTATGAGTGAAAACTAAGAAACATGTTCTTTTCTCTTATTTCTCGTGGGTGGGTTGTTAAAATATATGTTTAAACTTTATATCTGGTGTAAATGATCAAAGAACAAAGTGTAAGTGTAATTAGCTCAGTGTTGATGTTTATCTAAAGTTCGAACAGATTTCAGATATCAAAATCTTTAGTAAAACGAAACAATCTATAAACTAAATCAAAGATACATATTTTTTTATTGATCTCAATGTCTCAGCGGCAATAATCAATGTATTTTCATGTAATACATTACAAGTGCCACAGAGAGAGTATTTTATTGTTTATTTTTCACTGAGGTGTATAAAGTCAAATGGGTGTTGCATGTTGTACTAAATGTGAATGCTGAACCTGAAGGAGAAAATGGAAAAAATGCAATAAAATTTATGTATTTGTAGCATGAATATTTCATAAATAATATCGAACGGTATTCCTTTGTTTACCGTTTCATGAAACGGAAGGATAAATGTTTTATTAAGTTTCTTCTTCTCACGTCTCGTGAGCTCGAAATATCTTTTTCGTGAACATTTTAATCCACTTAAACATATATTCACAAAGTAGGATTCTTATATTGTGAAGGAATTTGACTGCTGTTTTAATATGCAAGAGATAATTGAAATCAGAACTTAAGTGCCTAACTTTTCGTCATGATTAATGGAATTTTAAGCGATTTCTGAATGAAGTTATTCATAATAATAATAATAACAACAAACTCAAAGTATATGCACGTCAAATATGTTATTGATTGATAACGCTAATTTGTATATACACGAAGTTATTAACAGCGCCTGATTGAATGTAATAGTGATAAATGCATGAATAACTAATAACGAATATTTATCTGAATTCCACATTCTGTCAATCAAAACTGATCAATTTCTTTGTGAAATATTTGCTTGTCTTATTAACATTTATATTTGCATTAGCTTAGTTGGTTAATTAGCGTGACAAGTAAAGTCCTTAGGGAATAAAATCTTAATTAATTGTTAATTGCAATAAAAATTTGTGTTGTGATTATCAAACGCTTTTGGACATTCTACTGGACATTTGATTGATTATTATCAATTTCTTTTAATTACGAATTTCTCACCTAAAAGTCCGAAAGTTGAAAGAAAATAAATAAAGCACAATGAATTTATGCAATATTCATTCAAAGCTATTAAAATTTTATCATAGAAATTTTACTACGATTCATCATAGTTAGATAGTTCATTCTCACAAAAGTTGCAAATTAAAAACAAAAGTTATATTTGCATCCTGATAAGCCAGCACAAACAAGCGGCAACAAATATTTATGAATCGAACTCGCATGAGATATGTTCATAAAAAAGTTCATTTTTCAGCAATGAATGGCCCCGTTCTGTCCATTCCATATCTATTTAGTCTCTGTTTTTATTGCCACGATTTTGCGGTCAATCTCTTTTGAAAAGAATCGAGAGGCGCAATGAATAATTCATGATGATGATGCCATTTAAACAACTATGACAATTTTATTTACAAATAATCTGCTGCAATAATTTTAAACGAATATTTATTGCATTCTTTTTTAGTTAGGAATTTTTGGCAATAAATTTTGTTTTAAAATTATTCTGAATATCTAAAAGTGCAGAAATATTTATTTATTGTAGATGTTAATGTTTCTATGTTTTCTTAGTAATTTTTGAAAAGATATTTATGATTTTATGCATAGCAATGAACATTTACCAACCATTGCATTAATTTTAATGAATTAAGGGAAATCAAGATTGAAGAACAAGAAATTTGCCGATCGAATCTTTCACCAGGTTGGGAAAACTAACGAATAGGATAAAACCAGTAAAATTCCCATGATAGTATGGAAAGCAAAAACATTTACCACACTCAAATCATAACTTGCTATCAGTTGGAATAACTCTTAACACCCGAGTGTATCGTTCATTTGAAATTCCAAATTTATTTGAACGAAAGTGTAAGCGTGTGCGGAAAAAAGAGAGAAAAAGAAATAAAATTTTATTTATCGACAGGGGAAAATGAGCTCGCCAAAAGGCACAAAACTGTTCATGTACAATGAGTGAAAATGGGAAAATGAAGCAATTTAAGTTTGTTGTTGAGAGCGAAGCGATAGTGGTTAAGTGTGGATGGAAATGAAATATTCAAGAGGATCAATTAGTTTGCTAATGATTAAAATGAGAGTATTAAAGATCAAAGACATTCAAATAAGCTGTATTAATTGCAATGGCCCATGACATATTTGAAAGCTTTCTTTTAGATCAATTGCAACAACAACTTTACAGCATAGTCAAAATATTATCCTGCTGTGGAGTTGTGGTAACCCTTCAGGAAATTGATTGCTATGGTCAAGAATGACAACGACGTCGTTTCATATAAATGAACATGATTTGATATTATTGCATTTAGTTTAAATTGATAGATTTCGTTGTCGATCAAAATACTTTACTGAATTGTTTGATTGCAAGAAGATGAAAGATTTAAAATTTAATTTTAATTATGAATTTATGATCAAGCACTTCTTGACATCGTATTTTCCAGCAATAATTCTATATTGATGCTCCTTCCAAACCACACACTTTAGTGATAACAAACGGACTAATCATGAAGATGTCAAAACTTTCAAACCAAACAAACTCACAAGATCCCCAAGCTGTTAATTCACGGGTTTTTGTCGGAAACTTAAATACATTTCAGTGTTCAAAAACAGACGTTGAACGGATGTTTCAACGTTATGGACGCTTGGCAGGTAAGCATCGTACTCATGTGGTTTAATTAAAATTATGTTGAATATTTGCGGTATTTGATGATTGGTGTTAATTGCATTGATAAATAAAATTTTAAGCCGCTTACTTAAAAATTTAATTAGGTCGCAAAGCGAAGAATTTTCAATCTCTCATCGCCACCATTAAGTTTCATTTTTTTTCTATATCCATAAATAAATTAATCGTGTACTTGCTGTCAGTGATACACTGGCTATAAAATAAAATAAACAGCAATCAAAATAATGAATTGAATCAAGGTTTTTGTGTTGAAAGCTGTCCAAACTGATTTATCGAGTCGAGTCCGAGACAATTTCCCACTCGTATCATTCCTTCGACCTGAAAATTGCATTTTCATTTTGTTTATCCACGTAGTTAAAGTGGGAGAAAGCTTTCCATAAATTATTCATGCATTTTTTTAATTGAATAATTGAGCCATTTGGTTATTCATTCATCGATTATAACATTTTCAATCAATATGGTGTTGTTATGATCGATTTCTCGACATAAATATTCATGTTCGTCACCTTCTGTTTCATGATGAACAATTTTAAAACTTTTTTCTTTCTTTAACAGGAATATCAATGCATAAAGGATACGCATTTGTACAATTCACAAATCCATTTGATGCCAGAAATGCGTGTCATGGAGAAGACGGTCGAACAATTCTCAGTCAAGTTTTAGGTGAGTAGTGTTTCCGTTTACATGTTTTTTTTTTGTTTTCCTTGAATCTGATCGATTTTATAATTTCAACTGGTTGTAGCATTAAGTCAAGCAAATTAACATACATTTTGAAATCGGAAGAGAAATAATTCATCCGAAAGTTAATTCTGCGAAAAGAAAAAGCCAGAAACAAGTTTTATTCGAGTCTTTTCACTGCCTTACGTGGAAATTAAGTCTCCGTGTTTTGTCTTCCTTGTTGGATTGCGTGTCGAGATCGTCGTGCCTGTTACGGCGGTATTTTTCCGTCTCGCTTTTCTCCCGTGTATAATTCTTTTAACGCCCGTGTGAAGTAAAATATTAAAGCACGAAATGAAAGAAGACGAAGCAGTGAGAAAATATTTCTTGCATTTGACTTATTTTTTATAGATTTTTTCCAATATTTTGTTGGCATCGACATCAAAAAATTACGCAATGAAATATCATCATAAATTAATCAAAAACGCGATTGTAGAATAACCGATTGGTTTTGTCACTTTACGCGTCATGACAACAAAAGAAAAAGTCTCTAAAACACGATTTTATGTCACTTTCGATGAAACAAACACTCAAATATTATAATAGTATGAAGCGTTGATGGTGAGAGACATAACAACTAAAAGACGAAACAAGTTTTATTCGATTGTTTTTTTTTTGGGTGTTTAGAGAATTTAGTAACTTTGCAAAATTTATTTTTAACTTCGAATCTAACTTTTCTCGAGACTTTTGATGTTTTCTTTTGAACAAACTGATCGTTAGTTGAGAAGTTTGTCTTCGTTTATCAAGAATTAACTTTCGTTTCAAATGTCCATCTTTTATATAAAATTCAGATGAGTTAAGAAAAGAATCTGTTAATTCAATCAAGCGTTTGAAAACAGAAATATTTTGAAGTTGTAGCAATTGCTTCAGTTTCTCTCTCTGGCATTCAGCCAAACACACAAAAAACTGCGTGATGATATTGATGAAAAGTTACCACAAAATTCAGGTGAATGGGAAATATTATCAGACTGATTTGAAGAGTGTGGCGAGTTGAAATTTATTTATTCACAGCAGTCGGTCTCGAAAAGAATGTTATGCAATAAAAATTGCTTTTCTGTCTAAACTTTTCAATAATTATTCTTCCTTCTTCTTCTCTCAAAATGTTTCTGCTATCGTCACCAATGTCAAAGACATTGACCTTTATTAAATGACAACGTCCTCTCGGTAAAAGTCATGAAATAGTGCAAACAACTGTCAATCCCGCTTGACTTCTCTTCATGATTTAATAGACGACATTTACTTTGACCCAGTCTTTTTTTTTTCACGTTAGACTGATCAAGAAAAGCAAAATAGATATTTCTGATTGGATAATTAATTTTCGCTCAAGAAAAACGTATCGTTTGTAATTTCTTAGTTATTTACTTCGTCTTTCTCTGAAATGTGGAAATCACATTCAACTTCTTTTTAACAGCTACTCACGACGCTTTCACTAAATATTTATGGTTCTTTTATACCATTTCAGATGTTAATATGGTGGCCGAACCGAAGGTGAATATTCTTTCATTGGAAACATCGTGAGTGACTCTTGAAATTTTTTAATTAAAATGCGTGTATGTTTTTTAAACGAAGCTCCATCAAACCGGTAGGAAGAGGCAAAATACCACAAAGACGGGGAATGACTGGGATTATTACTATGATAGGTAAGATTAACGGCTCTTTTTATGTTGTGTAAATACAAAGGAAGTTGAGAATATTTTAATTAACTTTTTCTTTAATTCACATTAAGGACATTTGCTTTTATCCCTATTCACGATTGTCATTTAAATTAACTTCCAGCTATATAAATTATATGGCAAACACAAATCGTTCGTGAAATTGTAAATATTCTTTTAAATTTAGGGAGTGTCTTGATTGCTTCTCTTTATATTCCATTTAAAGTACTTTTGTAATAGCATCCTGTGTAATTATACTTTTTTACTTAATTTCACTTTTTATCATATTTAATGAAATGGACCAATTATCAGTCAATCGAATTTTTTTTTGATAGTTTTAATTGAGCTGAAGTTATTAACGGCAAAAATCTACTAAAAATTAAATTCGAGTAGCATTTCAGTAGCAAAAACTTATTACCCCCAATTACTTATTCCTAATCTAGTACGACAAAAAACTGGAAGTAGAACTTTCTAAACCCCAAAGTAGATATCAAAATTTTCATGATGAAAATCTTTGTTTACAATATTTTTCATTGTTCAATTCTAGTGAGTTACATTCGAGGTTCTCATTAAACTCTTCAACCCCTTTTTTATAATTTAATTTCTTTAAAGTTGAAACTTGAATGCGGCTCATGCATTTCTTCCTGTAGATCTAAATCTCGGAGGCAGAAAGTTAAAAATTTTGTTATTTAAGATTTTAATAGCGTCTTTAATTTTCAACTCCACCCAAAACTTATTTATTTTATTGCTTGTGAAAGAGTTTTCTGAGATTTTTCTGTGTTGCCGACTGGCTTCACTTTGTAATTTTCCACATGAAGTGAAACACTTTTGTTTTATGGCTCAATTTCTTAATTTTCTCCCATTTGCTTTATTTTCAGCTATTACGCCTCGACACTGTTTCCCGCTGTTAATCCCCAACCACGTGCAGTCAAAAGACAAAGACTTATGACATCTTCTCAAGCACGTTCAGCTGGAATCATCGCAAATCCGCAAAATCAAGTCGTCATCCAATCACCTCAACAAGCGCAACAACAGCAAATTGTAGCTGCAAACAAATTGACATCGGCTGCAAATAGCCTCCTGCAACTTCAACAACAGCAACAGCAACAACTTCTTCTAGCAAATTCAGCACCCGTTGTTAGTCTTTGTAATTCCGTTTCATCTCCGAATTTTGTAAACATCAACAACAACATCGAGAATGCAAATCATCAGAATACATCACCAGGCCAATTTAAAATTTACAGTGAGTTTAGTTTCAAAATGAAATGAGAAAAGAAGCCTTCAGAATTTATTACTTCCCACTGAAAAAATCTTTACAACACCCACAACAAGACCGTCAATGATCATTTTTCCAAATGTGGCTTAAAACTCTCAAGAGTTTCTTTTTTTTTTTCATTCTTTGCTCAACAGGCAACCCCGACATTTTAATTTGTGGCAATTGTCGAGAGATGTTTTCGGAATTAAGTGATTTATTAGATCATAAGCGATCTTATTGCAAGCTGAGATTTACATGCAAGTGTCAGGATCAACTACCAACGATTATAAATAGTAAGTGAAAAGTTATTCATCTCAAAGATAAAGCCGCTTACGAAAAAGTTTAATGTCTTCTTGTTTATACAGAAAATTTATATCCATCATCAAAATTACTTTGTGTTGTGTGCAAGGATTCATTCAGGAATCCTTGGGATTTGATGGTGCATGCCCAAGCAGCGCACATGGTGAATATTTATGAAATCGGAGAATCGGACGAAGAAGACGACTTGAATGCAAACACTAAAAGTAATAAATTAGATAAGACTAATGGTGAAAGCCACAACAACATAAATGGATCTTCCTGTAATGGAACAGTCGTGCATTCTAATGAAAATGTAAGTCGTACCGCGCTTTTTTTTCTTTCTCTCTTCAACTGAAATATTTATGCTTAAAAAAATTCTCGAGGATGGGAAATTTCATGGTTGGAAAAATAACAAAAATTCACTCGCCAAAAAGGAAGAAATCAGAAGAAAGAATCTCATTCGAGAAATGAATGTGCTGGAAAAAGAAATTAAATGATAAAAGAGGCGCAAATATTATAATGCCTTGAAATAACAGCAAAGGAATGTCTGTTGATTATATTTTTAATTTATTTATTTATAATAGCGTTTTTAATGCGCTTTAAATGAAGATTCATATCGTTGATTCATGATGAAAGAAGAGAAACGACAATTGAATATTTAAATGGCTTTTGATGGCGATTTAAGTGAACACGGAAATTCTTTTTCAATTGCATTTTCATGTTATTTAAAATTTAAAAAAGATTTCATTAAAATGAACATTTCAGCTTTAAAGGAATTTTAAACGAGATTTCATATAATCAATCTTAAATCACAGAACATTTAGCTACAAAGTTCGATTTCAATAAAAGCTATAAAAGTCAGGCCAATTCTAATCAATTAAAGTTTCCCTAAATAATGACCCAAAAAGCAAAGCAAACTTTCTCTTCATGTGAACACAAAATCAAAATCGATAAACCGTATGGAGTCTCATCCGTTACGTTAAACCTAATGCTATTAAAATCATGCAAAATTAATGAGGGAGGCAATGAAATTGATTAACCCGACTGTTGAATCATTTTCGGGCTTTTTCGTTCAGCCAGACAGAAGAAGAAAATTCGGAAAAACAAAGAAACAAAAAATATCCTTGAATAAATATCAACATGTTGAAAGTATCATCGTCTCACTAAAGAAACATTTGTAGTTCTATAAGAGGGATGAAAACTTTCCTCCTTCATTCCATCGTAAGAATTTTGTTGACTTTTCCTTCTTCACATTTCCTTAATGGTTTTTCTTATACATAAATGGAGATAAGATGAAATAAGAGGGGAAAGAAGAATGAAAGAAAAAAAGAAAGTAGGGAAAGATCACCGCAAAAATTCATGACTAAAAGCGAATAAATTAAATTTCATGCTCTTGTTCTTTCAATATCTGTTCATTGATTCAGGAAATCGAAGGAAATATTCAGAATGAAGCAAGAGGAGATAAACAGAGTAACCATTCATCATCGGCCACATCATCACTCGCAAATGAACTTTTACTCCTAGAAACCACCGATAATGAATTGATTATCAACACTAATGGGCTAGATAATGGCATCAATGAGAAGCTGAGTTCCGATCTCTCGCCCAATGATATCATGATGTCTTCCTCACGTAGCACATCACCATCAGATAAAGAAAACGGAATGGATTCACCACCAAGGGCTTGTATTATGCGAGCATTGACTATTGTAAGTCAAACAACTTCCATTGATGGAGCTTAAATTAATTAAACTTTTCCTTAACTTTCTTCTTTCTTTCCCTAAATAAATCTCATCAACACAACAGGATACAAACACAAATCCAAATCGAACGGCCTTAGCACTGTCATTAGCTAATGCTAATGGAGCTGCAATGCCAACACAATAAAGATGTTGCCTCGATTTTCAAAGCAGGTAAAAAATGACAGAAAATCAGTATTTCTCGTTCGTTCCTCGACACTTTGATTGGATTAACGTGAATCCGACAGTAAACTTGCGTTGATCTTGAGTTGGTTGCTGACATGTGTGTTTGAAAAAAAGAATTTAATCGAAGGAGCTTTCTCGAAAAACTTAATCTTAAATTAAACAATTTCTCCTTCTCTTCTGTTATTTTTCATACTAAATGAGCTTAAAAATACTTTAGAGAAATTTTCACACACAAATTATCAGTAAAATAAAATCAGAAAAAAATGGCAAAAAGTTTTTTTGCTGTATTTATGTTAAGAAATTAATTAAAAAATATGTAAATTGTACACCAACTTTCACTCGTAAATCTAATTTGTTTATTTTACTGATAAATAATTTAAACAAACACCACAATCCAAAGAGTTTAGCTTATTATTTATAATAAAAATAAATGAAGTATCAAAGTAAGTTACGTAAATAGAAATGGAAACGAGAGCAACTTCAACAACATATCAGAAACTATTTTGAGTCAGTAGATGTATGTAGATACCTGAAATATCAATAGTTAAAGTGAGAAATGTTCTTACTATTGATATTCGAAACTTTTATAACTAATTAAGCATCTAGTCTTGCTTGTTGATCACTTCACTCAATTCATTAAATCTTAAACCGCAAGCAACAAATTTCATTTTAATTCTTCATTTTTCCAAATCAAAATTTCAAAAAAATTCACCTTAAAGTAAATATATTGATAATGATAAACACAAACAGCATGAGATGTGAATTACGACCAAAAAAATGATTTCAAAACATCAACAAAAAATTAAGAACGAAATTATTATTTTTATAACGTTAATGTCTTCCGGTCTTTGGCGTATGTGCGTTAAAAAATAATTCAACATTGCTTTCATTCGCGAATATCTCTAACGATTTATGAATGTACTTTAATTAAATTATTCATAAAATAATTAACACTCGCCGAAGTTCAAAAAGCAGACATCAATATTTCTGGATTATGTCGGCTTGAAATAAATTGCAAGAAGAAAGCATTGAAAATTTTTATTAAATAAGTATTTGGTATTCAACACTTGTTTGAAGTATTAACGGCTCTCTAACTTCATATCTATCGCTTCCGCTACTTCGTTTACTATTTGCACCTAATAATTACTTAACTTGTTTCCTGTTTCGAAATTCGAGTTAGGCAAATATCATATTAAAGCAGGCATGATAATTTCCGCTGTAGATATTATTTAAGTCTAAGTTTAAAATAAAATGTTGTAATGATCAGAGAACGAAGTGCAGATGCTCAAGTCAGTCATTTGAGATCTAATTTGTGAAACAAAAATCAATCACTGACTTAAGTCAATTCTTCACTCAATTCTCAAGTTATTGTTAGATAGTTTCAAGTTGAAAACTTATTTCTGATTAAATAAAATAAATTCATTTATTAAATTTATAAATATTTGTAAAATTTAAAATAAATTAAAAAGAAAGAAAAATGAAAATTATCTAACAAAAGAAAGAAAGAAAAAAATCAATAAAAGAAAAGTTTTGTTTAAAAATATTTTTTGATCTGTAATTTAACTTAAAATATCCTTTAAATGTCGTCAATGATTTCAAGCGTTACATTGTGGGGGTGTAAATTGTGATTTATTCTTCTAACTGCCGAGAAAATTGCCTATAATTTCCCTTCTACTGCTCATTGATTTTGAAAGCGTTTTGCTTCATAAATTGAGTGAATTTATGTCTTTCATAGTTCACCATTAAACCATATTCAATAAAAAGATATTTTCAATTCACAGCCTCGTCAATCGTCTTCTTCCTTCTCGCCCTTCCATCGCGCTTACCTTCTTCTCAAAAAGCTATAAAATCATATGAAAATTTTCCAACACAGTTGCTCAAAAGCAAACAGTGTGAAGTGTGATTATTAAGGAACATGATGAAAGCATGTCATAAATTTATTTGACACACATACACACACATGTATGAGAAAAAATACTCTCCCATTTAACAAGCCAACTGATGACGGCAATTTCAATAAACTCCAGACAAAACATTTCCATGCAATGTCTCGCTCATCCGTCCATGGAAATGCCTCCATTCATTTACAGAGTTATCGATTTTCCCACTTCTCTCCCTCTGCTTTGTCACTAAACTTCATCTCGAATAGATAACTAAATGGGAAATGATGTGATGAACGAGAAAATGTGCATCAGGTTGGTTTGTGATGTGTTCACGCTTTAAGTTGTTCAAAAGTTTATGTAAAAAAATTAAATTGATGTGTTTGATTGTTTGCTTAAATATATATTTAGTTGAATTTGGATTTTAAATGCTTTTTAAGCTATCAATGATTTTTTCCCGTACTTGTGTGCATTGTGTCGACGCTACTGAGTTTGAAATAACATGAATGTAAATGCTGATTATTCAGAATGTTCTTCAGCAGAGAAAATATTTTGTGAACAAATAAACTCGATGAGTCGAACGTTTTTAGTTTTAAATTTCAGGAATTATTTGTTTCAAGAGAAGTCGTAGGAAATCTCAAAGCAACGACAAACATGAAAAGAAGGAAAAAGTTGGTGAAAATATTTGAATAATTAAAATCCAGAAAATGTTGAAAGAAAATTTTTAGTCAGTTTGAGGAATGTTTTCAGAAAATGCATCTCTCGATCGCACCAAAGTATTTCCACCCAATCTCCTTGTTAATCTCTAGCCACACCAAAGAAGCGATTAAATGTTTATAAAATATTTTTGAGGTTTGAGTTAGTAAGTTGTATGAATATTTGTGCCTTTGTGGCCATCTTTTCGTCACAAATTAATAAATCATGAAAGCAATGAAATTTATTTTCTGAAGATGAAAGTGTTGCTGGTGCATAGAAGAGGATTCTGAAACTGTTTGAATAATTAAAAGATGAAATTAAAAATTAATTCATTCTCGTGTTGAATGTTTGGTAAAATTGTATCGTTCAACGAGTAACATGACAGATTTTATTTCATGCACAATGCACAGTTTGGGAAATTGGTTGAATAGAAACTTTAGTTTCTTACTTAGATGTTTCTTTTTCATCTTCCACAATCATTCCAAGCCACAAACTGCAATAGCGCTTCTCACATTCCTTCAAATGAAATCATTTTTGGAATAATTTTAATGGAATGTTTAATAATAAATGAAATGTATTTCTCAATTTGCTGGGGCTTTGGTTGAAGGTTATTGCTGTGTTGAATTATTTATTGTAAATGACAAGGTTGGGAGACATTTCACAAACATAGAAATTTATGTGGTCAAGTAATAAAACATAAGTTCTGTTTGAGGGCATCAATGACTAACTAGAACATTGTTCTTTACGTAAACGGAAGGGAAAAGAAGTAGAAAAGTTTTGTTTATGTTGTCTTATGCACACTTTGGAAAATCATTAAGGTGAGTAAGATAAATTTATCAAAACAATCATTAAAACATATCCTGCGGGTTGGACAATTATCTGAGAAAGGAAAACCTTACAATGATGATGTTGAAGGATCATTTTCGGTGTTTCATGTCAAAACCATAAGCAGAGCACTCAAAGAGTATCTGAAAACAAAAAAGAAGGAAAAAGGAGAAAACTGAAAACCAAAAACATTTACAATGAGTGTTTTGTGGCCTTTGTCAAGAGGCTGAGAAAAATGTGGAAAAGCCGAGAAAAGCGAGGATGAAGAGCGGGAGAGAAAAGCAACAACTTAATGGCTTCTTTCCCGACGTTAAGTATTTAATCTCTCGAACAGATTTTTCATGTTAACTCTCGTCTTTTTACCTTTGTTTGCTCATGCTCTTCATTGACGTCCCTCCCCTTACCAACATTAAACAGTTAAACATCATTAAAGTTGAATGCTGGAAGCTACGTACAAAATGTATCTCAATTATTTATTTCTTGAACATGTACGAATGAACAAATGAATGAAAGTGAAAATTGCAACTGCAAGTAGATGTTTATCAACTTGTCTCAATGGGATTCAACCTTGACGGAAAAGAAATTTTATTCACACGAGAAATGATTCAAATTTCTTTCGTTTGTAAAGATTTATGTGCTGTTTGTCTGCTAAGACATTTGAGTTTTAATTATGGGTATCTAAATAAAAATAATCATAATCTCAAGAATGTCATAATGAAATAAATTAAACGTTGAGCGATCAAAACTGAGGATTAAAAACACGATAAAATGAAAAGTGTCGGTAATAAGTTGGATAGACAGAAAAAATATTTTTAATTATGCTTAAATTGCATAATATTTGAGGAAAGTTTAGAATGTTTCAGTTACGATGAAAGTTTATCGAATCATTCAAGTTAAAGACAAATTCGAATGTAAAAGTTGTTTTTGATTAAAACAAACGTTATGTGTACATCGTTTATAGACTAACAAAGTTTATTTTCATCGTTCAGGTAGCCTTAAAATGTAAATGGCGCATATATGAAGTGGCAAAATGCCAAGAAAAAGAAATCAAAAATATTCAATTTTTCTTCTTTTTCAATTCTTTGATTGAAAATTTAGTAGAAAAATCACAATTTGTGAGAGATTCTCTTAAATTTTAATAATCATTAAAGTAGGAAATGGAAAGTGATCAACTACTGAATGAAAATTTGCTGATATTTTCTCAACAAAACTGAAACTAAAAACTTTTTCTCATTCACTGTCACAAAGAGACGCTTTTTTATGAATAAAAACTACTCTGATGAGATATTAAAAGCAGAAAAGAATATTTTAATTGAAAAATATACCCGCGAGACAGACTTTGATATCGAATTTTTCTGATAGTTTATTTAAATCCGCTAGAGGAAGAATTTGAAAGCGACAGAAAGCACGAAAACTCGTTCAAGTTGAAGCTTTCGGAAGTATTTATGACATAACGATACATGCTTGAAAGTGGAAAGTAATCTGCGTAAAATGACAAAAGGTCTCGAGGAGATGAAATTCATCTTCAAAGGATCATGAAAAACATAAAATTTAAAAATAAAATTAGTTCAGGAACAAGGAAAAACATCACAGCGACAATCGTGTTCACCTTTGTGCGTTTATCACCGCTTTGATGTCGCACCGCTTTTTCTTGGTTTGAAGTCTTTTATCTTTATTCAATTGAAAAAATAATTTCACGTCTTGTTAGGTGCGTGAAAACTCATTTCTCTCTAAGGTTACTCAAATTACAAAGAATTTTAATATCAAACCACATGCTTGTGTAACTGAATTTGAAGTGGCAATGTAAAGAGTTTGCTTTTGTCGTTAATGTTTTCAATATTGTCATAGGGAAATTTTCATTTTATTTCTAATAGAAATGTGAAGAAATCGCGATTAATTGTGCATGGCTTAAGATGCAAAGTTAACAAACTTTTGTTAATATTGATTGATCATTAAAGTTTAACTATCGTTACTCTTGTTTCAATGCAGACTTAGACACATTAAACTACTTTTTTCTTTAAAGTAAAATATTGAAATATTTCAACTAAAATGAAAATTCATTAAACTGCTGAAATGACACAACATCAAGTAAGTTTCAACATATAAAGTTTAATTAAAAACGTTTTAGTTCGTCCAACGTTTTATGAATATTTAATCTATTAGACTTGTCAAGTCGTTTTTTTGATGGTCATCTGACAAAATGACGAGTCAGTTTAAAATTAAATATTCTTTTAAGAGATTAAATCAATGAAATGTCAAAAAATGAATTAATGGACATTAAACTATTAAAAAATATGAAAATATTTCCACCTTGCTTCAACCTTGTAATAAAAGTGAGATTGTGCAAAGTGCAACGCAGATATCCTAAAAATAACAATTCAACGCTGCAAAATAAGCGAAACACTCACTTTTTGTCTCGTCGTTCACATCAAGCAATATATTTAAATGTCATTTTTCTTCATCTTCAAAACGAATTGATTCTTTCACAAGTCCTAATTAACATTTATAAATTATTTTACTTCGACGAAAAATAAAGAGAGAACCAAAAGTTTCATAAACCTTTCTTCATGCATACTAAAACATATTTCACGCGTTACAATTTGCATAAATTTATAGCTTTTGTCACGGTCTCGTAAGTCATTGTTATAAGATTAATGATAGCTTTGCTACGATGAAAATATTTATTAGAAAAACAATTTAAATATTTATTAAGTCCAGTTTGTTTGTCCTTACGAGTTCTCGACAAACATCAATCATTTATTTTTCATAAGTATGAGCGGAGTCGTAACAAAATATCGTTTTTGATATATCTAATTAACTATGGCTGTAAAGATTTTATCAGACTAATTATTTTCTTTAGTGCTAAACCCTTAGCAAGGAGGGAAAATGAAATAAATATTTCTTAAAGACTTCCTAGAACAACTCCAACATATTAAAGTTTTCATTTTATGTCGAAGTTAATAAATGCAAAGACATAAAATCTCATACGATATGAATTTTCTTCGAAAGGATGAAAAATTTTCACACTCTTCATCTTTTCTCTCATTTTCCTAAGAATAATAAAATTTTTGTAGAGTTCTGAGAGAAAATTTTCATTCAAAATTTAGTCGATGAAAATCTTTAGGGAAATGTAGACGCTTGCTTTTCACCTTCCACTTACGAATTAAATGTTTCCTTCTTCTTATCGTAAGTGAAGTCTTGGTGTAAATATTTTATGAAAAAAGGAATTTCCATTTTCCCTTCTCTATTCATAAAATCATTTGAGATTGAAACACTTTTCCTTCATTTCCATTCAAATTGATTTTATAATTTTCTTATTCATAAAACTGGTTAATAATTAAGCAACGCAATCAACAAATTCTTTTGTTTAGCTTTAAGAGTTCATAAATTACGGTGATAGATTCAACTATTAATTTTTTTTTGCCCAAACAAATGTGACATGCCACAGAAATTTTCAAAACAACTTTTTTCGTTCATAAACATAAATTCCTTTTTACAGTACATTTTAATTATAATTTACACTTTGGTGGTGTTACGGCATAACAAAACCGAAATAACCTTTTGTGTAGACACTCGTAATTATGATTTATTACACATTTTCAACACAGACTGATTTATTTTGTGGTTGAGTTCGCTAGAAAAGCTTGTAAAAAGGCGTTAAATCTGATTCAACAGCTAAGAGTAACAACGAAGGGTGGGTGGCTTAAATTATAATATCTCAATAATTAATTAGAGGGATGATTAGCTTACTTCAAAATTCTACAACTTTGATAGGTTGATGTAGAATGAAACTATGAGACAAAAGTTTATGTTTCAGTTTAATTGAGTGATAGATAATTTCAAATGTCTTAACCTTAAGGCCTTCCTGAGATTGCTGTTTTAACTATTTATTAAAAGGTTGATGAGATTCAGGAAAGTTCGTGTTATGTCTAAACTCACATTAGCCCAATGAATATTAAATGAAACGATTGTTGAACGTTCAAGTGTTTGTGTATATTTTTAAGACTCTTTCATTGCTCGATAGCAATCGTTTGTTTGTTGCTTGATACTTGAGATGTCGTAACGTTAACTCAATATATTTATGTACATCTCTAAAATACTTCAACTATTTGTTTTCTTCTTGTAGTGTGTCGGGGAGAAACGAGACCATAAGTTGTTTGTAGGAACCTTCAACTTTTACTTCTCCTTCTGTGTTCAACAAATTAAAGGGAACGACTTGTATTCACACCATGAGTTAAATATTCATGCTTATCGACTTTTCTCTCCCTGTTCATTGTGTATATGTCTTCTTCTTCTGTTTATACTTACTCTCGTTCGTCTTTTATCTCAGACATGCAATGGAAAAGCGCTTCAATGAGAAAATCGTATACATGAAGCTGAAGCTTTGGCAATTTGTTTCTTTGTGTTTCTTTGCAGATTTTCCATTCTTTTAAGGTCGGAAAAGTAGCATAACGAATCTTGAGTGAAAAATCTACTAAAAATGCACTTTACACTGAATCATTCCGAAGAATTGAAGAAGCCAACATGAAAAATTGTGTCATTTAAAGCTATGCTAGTTATGTTGTCATTCTTGTTGTTATTAAAATAAAATCTCAACGCACATAATGGAAGATATTGAATATTGAAATTTAATTACTTGGAGACATTGATGTGGCTCATAAATCATTTTTAATGTAAAAGTAAGTGACAGGAGAAAATTTCTCTCACTCGTATGATTCAAGTCATCAATTTTCTTTTAGACTGATGAAAGAAAAGCGTTTAGTCATTGTGACAAAATGCCATTAGATCTGTTTTGATTCTCGTTCATTGATAAGAATTTTGTTCAAAAATTTATAACAAGAAAAGTGATGAAGAAAACAAAAATCAATCTAAATGAAAAAAGTTGCATGATGAGCCGCAAAATGAAATTGATTTCAACCAATGCTTCGATAATTGTTGATCATGATAATGATTGGAAATATCGTCAGCTTTACGGAATTGATTTTCAACATTTTTTCCACCTGCAACATTCTCAGGCCACGTACAGTGAAGCAATAAAGATACATTGTGTGCTACGGATTTTTCTCCGCTACTTATTCGTTCTTGCTGACGATTCAGAGGAGAAAGCCGGAATGAAAAAACAATTATGTTTTAAATATTTTCAGCACGTAGTGAGTCTCATGGATTTGTGGTTATTATTGGGCTGGCCAGACTGCAGAAAATTAAGATTCTGTTAAGATCAGGAATTTCAAACAAAACTTTTTTGGTCTGCCTGCGAGAATTCACCGCAGTCACTTCTTTAAAACTTTCACAAAGGTCAGAAAGGTAAAGCAGACTATGTTGTGAGAAAAAGAAAAACTTTAAATTGAAGGAAATTGTTGAATTGTAATTCCAACCATAAATTACTCGACTTGCTGCTTAGACATTCCATAAGAGTTTATTTTAAAATCACATCACGAGTCGTGATTGAAAATTATAGATCCAACACCAATAAATTCCCAATTATTCTCATATATTTTCGTTAAGGAAAATGGAGGCACGCGTGATCTAATTTATTCTAACATGACGAGACGAAAGTTTCATATGGAAAACTATTTAAAGGAAAATTAGCATGACTCATTCGTTTATGTTTTTAAATTGAAATTCAAGATTTTCAGGAGTCATTCGATGAAGTTTTTAAATTGAAAATTTCAATCAATTCATGTTTCAAAGGGGTAAGTTCGACTTAACAAAGAGAAAACTTTTTCAATTGAAAGGATGAAGTTTATAGACTTTTCTTGGGGTTATTAGTGATTTTACATTAGCATTTAAGCATACATTTGATGAGAGATTTCTTGCTGAAATGTTCACAACGACAAAACAACAAAGAACAAACGAATTTCAATAAATAACACATTTTTTGTGATGCTCTTGGAATCTTAAGTAAAAGTTATAAGTTTCACAAATTGGATAACTTTAGAGGAGAGGAAAAAATATCGAGAAAAGCTTTCAGCACCTATCGATAAAGTTTTTAAAATTATGAGACTTTTTTCAAGACTCTTACGGGTGCTGGAATGAAGTTCAGCAGAAAATTGGGTCTATGAAGATATTTTTGTCTGACATCGATAATGATAAAGTGTTGTTGGGAAAAGTTTTAATAAAAACTGTGAGATGGTAGTATCGTTAACTGGGGAAGTAAGAGAATGGAAATAAAACAATACTTCATTGCCTTTTGCATTTGTACACAGACTACAAAATCCAATAAAAATGTCATTCCTTGTGCAGCGAAATTTCTTCGTTTACGACGACGGATTTTTTGTGCTTTCCTTCTTTTCTGTATTTAACAATTATGTCACGTTTCGATTATCACGTTCCGTTTTATGTATTTATATCCATTTCTACTTTTTTTTTCTTTTTCAACTTCGTTTTACGTTTAAGAAGATGTTTATCAAGGAATTTTCTCTGTCAGTCGAGTCTATCTGACAACAGCAAATCCGAGTCGTGTTACAACATCATCCGAAAATGGATTTATTGAATTAAGTGCTTTACATAGAATATGTGCTTGTCCTTGCCTTCGTCCATTAATTTTCATGACAAACTTCAAATATCAAAGATGATAACTTCGTCTCATGAATAAATTTCATCCAACAAATCCTACTAATTCCTTCTCAATTCATTCAACGATGACGACTTGTTGTGTCTCCACTTGAATAACTTTTAAATTGAATTGCAGTAAATCAGCAGTTAAAAAAGTTTTTAATTTCAAAACATTCAAATTCAGAAATGAAGTAGCAGTGAGAAAGGTAAGTTAAGACTTTCGAACCTGAAAAGTAATTTAACTTTGGAAAATTTCTGATTCAAAAACTTTTACTACAACGTAACAGGAAGCAAAGCGAGGTTTTTTCACAAGACATTCCTTAAGGGATTCTTGATGCTTCTCGATTGTTGAAATTATTTTCGACACGAGAAATAGTTTTTTGCTTTTGTTTTCTTCATGTCAAGAAAGTTTTATGAGTTTGTGATATTTCATCTTATGAATTCATTAAATTCGATGGTACTTTTAATAAGTATTTAAATCGATTTAAGCTCCTAGCTTAATCACATGAACTTGATGGTATTTTAAAGCTTAAAACCTTCCATTCAATTTAGGTTAATCTTCTTATTCAATCATACAGAATATTTTTTAACATTCAATTTAAGTCGAATCATAACTACATAGGAACATCAATGAATCATGGCTTAATAATAATTCGATAACAGCTTCCTGACGAGATGAAATGCCGATATAATCTTGATATCAATGGAATTTGTCGACCTTTTAACAGATTCTGATTTATCTAAAAGCAAGTAGCAGAGAGAGAAAAAATGTTAAGAAGATTAAATTACAAGATAATCTTTTTTCTATATCGTCGAACAAATTGCATGTAATCTTGATAAATGAAAGGGGGAAAATTTTCTTCCTGTTCCGTTTAAAATCATTTTTCCTCAGGATTTGAAGGATTTTATTATTTTCATACCATTCGAAAGTAAACTGTTTACAGAAGGTTAATTATCTTTCAAATTGTATAATAGAATGAAACCCTCAAGCACTTTTAACACCTGAAATTAGATTTCACTTCCTTCAATGCTTACTAAGAAGTTTTATCCTTAAAAAGTAAATAAAAGATGAAATCCAGAAAAAAAACTTTCTTTAAGCAATTCCCCAATGAGCGAATTATGAGTGCTTTTTGTAGATTGAATGAAGTTTACATTAAGTTGGAAAAGAAAGCTGCCTTTTTGTCTGAGAGAAAAGACCGCACACAAATACCAAGCATCATGAATATTTTACCATAAATAACCGAAAAGTATGCTATCATCTAATAATAAAAGCCGCCCCCTTCAACAACGTTTTTCCTTTTCACCGGCTACGAATGAAGAAGCGGAGGGAAGAAATTTTTTCTCGAGGAAGAGAAAAACGAAAAAACACGCACAAGAAATACAAAAAAAAAAAATTTTACTCGTAACTTGTTGAATTTTTCCACAATACAGGAGAGAGCGAGGAAATGTGAAAGTGAAAAAAAAAACATTGAAATAATAGCAGAAAATCCGTTTGTTGTTCACTTAGATATTCGTTGTTTGAGATAAAAACTTTCTCTCGCTCTGCATAATTTTTCATTATTTTATTTTCTGTTATCTCTTCCACCTGGAGTAATGTTAACAAAGCCGGAGAAACAAATTAATGAAAAGTTTGAAATTGTGTAACAAAAGAATCGAAAATCATGAAGTAGATGTTGAAAGTCTATTAAAACCTGTTGAAGTGGAGTTTTTCTTAAGAGTTTCTCTTTATAAGATAGAATATCCATGCAAACTTTTCCATCTTTAGCAGATAATTCAGTTTAAGATGTTTCAACATTTATTCTTTTATTATGATCGAAATAATGTTCAAGCAAGAAAGGAAATGTTATAAATTAATGGATTTATGGTCTTGTAACGTCTACAAGAATACCTTCAACTCTTCCACATCTGCATATAAATCACTGTCCATTATCTAAAAATGCATCAGAATGTTGAATAAATCCACAAGCAATAAAACAGACTTAAGCAGTTAAAGGCGAATATGCTAGAAACATACCGGAAACAGCTTTAACAGGAAACATTTTTCGACCTCCCCCGACTCAATCTTTAATGTATGCGTAAGTTGATGTTATAAATCAAGCGTCAGTAACGAATTCGTACGCTTAAAAATATATGAGTTAATCTATAAAGCCAAATCTCAGAGCGAAAACTCATTAAATACGAGTGAATTTTTTCGCAGCAAATAAATTTAGATTCTCCTTCGACTTAAATTACCTTGAATGTTTAATGTTGAAAAGAATACGAAAGTGAAAGAGAAGTATTTGATTAACGCGAAAAAGTTGCTTAAGACAATGCATTACAAGGACCTATTTCAATTGAAGTAAACTTCTTCTGCAACTTGTACCGCAATTTTACTTCTTTGTTTGATAACTTAAAGCCGTATGGAGAGTAATTGTATTTCCTAGAAGAAAATTTATTGCCTCGAATTTATTTCGATGAAGGCAAGAGAAAGAGAAATTTAATTCAAGATTAAAAACAATAAATTAAATCTCAAACACATGAGAATCGTTCGGTTGCGATGTAGAAATGTGTGGAAGAAAGCACTTCAGGTTCAATTTGTCGGGAAAATAGCGGAGAAATTTTTATTGCTCCTATTTATTTATTTTTGTTTTTTTCCTATATTTAATGAAAAAAAAGGAAATCACGAAAGTTATGTGCAGATATCCCTGGAATAAAAAAGAAAAACTTTGGAAAACTATGACGATAAATAAAATTATTACTTGTTAAATCAAATGCCATGAAATTAAAAGCGTGTTCCTTTAACTGAATTCTCATTTCAAACAACATTTTATTTAATAAAAAAGGAGAATTAAAAGAAAATATTTATTAATCTCCGAGGCGCAGTGAAAATATTTTTGTTTTCTACTCTTTCATATCGCATCGTCACCAGACATTTTCTTGAGTTCATTGTTTTCATATTAGAGTGACATAAAGCATTGGGCTTGAGAAGAACTTTTTCACATTATTTAAACGATTTTAAATTCTCGTTAACACTTAATTGTCGGCAGTCTCAAGCGAATCAATGAACGCATTTGAATTTTAATCACGAAACACGTTATAACATTGAAAACGATTATATTTTCTGTTTTCTGTTTCAGATGAAACACATTTTCAATATTTAACGCGGAACGTGATTCAATTTCAAGATTTTTCACCCGATGAAATCTAATTTAAATATTACAGGTAAGATGGGCGCGGAAGATTGTCGTAAATTGTAATTAAATGAATCCTGACAGATTTTTAATAACATTTAAGAACAAAAAATGCTTCTTCGTAGTGATTTCCTTCATTCATTTCATTATCAGTGAAGTTTTTCTTAAACTTGTTTGTACATTGAGGTGCCGAGGCACGTTTAAAGCTCCATTACTTGCCTCGTCTTGCTTCGATAAAACAAACAAGAAAATCTACTTTTTGGGCAAATAAGTTCGGACGAGGAAAATGTTGCCCAAGGCACAAAATCAAATAACATTGAAATTGCATTAGCAAATAATCTTTTCTTTTACTCTCATACTGATATGAAATAAAATGTATTATATTTATTTCGGTTATAGCCGCTCAATTCGATTTATCTTCGATGCTTTCATCTCTTATTCCTAAAGGACTTCAGAACATTGATGATTGGATAATGTCTATACAAAATTAGGAAACTCTTGCAAAGTTGAATGATGCGAACAATAAAATTATTTTTTCTCTTCTGAAAATAACTCAACATTTACGACAATTTTCAAGAGTAAAGAACAAAGTATCTTCTCCGGTTCTATCGGAAAATTTGCAGTTTATTATAAAAGAAAATATTTTGACACTTCTGTGCTTTTCTCAAATACTCATCGACTGATTATGGCCCTTTTTGATTGCCTTGAGCACGACTGTAATAAAGAGCGTTCGCTTGAGTCATCGCTTGATAGCAATCAACGGGACATTGACCAGCACTTCCTGGAGGACCACGAGGTCCCACGTTTCCAGTAGAACCTAAATATTTTTAAACAATGAATAATTTTTCAGATTGAAATAAAAAAATAAAAACCAACCTTGTTCTCCTTGTGGACCAGGTCTTCCAGGGTTTCCTGTCATTCCATCAGCACCTGAACAACGCAAGTTATTAAATGAAAATATTTGAATATTTATTTTAAATTACCTGTGGCTCCTGTGGGACCTTGTGGACCAGGTGGTCCCTGTCGGCCTATGCCCTCCTATAAACAAAGTTAAAATTCATTTTGTTCTTTATTAGTCAAATGCTTCAAATACCTCTCCACGATCTCCCTTCTCTCCTCTTTCTCCAGGTTCTCCTGGATAACCAGCTTCTCCATGAGGCCCTGGCATACCTGGAAGACCTTGGATTCCTTGATATCCTTGTCTTCCTTTTTCTCCTTGTTGTCCTTGATCACCTTGTGATCCTTGAGGGCCTCTCTTTCCTGGTTGCCCAGGAGGTCCTTGAGGGCCTTGAAGGTTGGCTGTTAATTCCTCGAGCTGATTTCTTAAAACGCTGTAACAAATTTCACGAACTTCTTCTTCTGAAAAGCTTCGTCCGGGTTGCCCATTTTCTCCTGGGGGTCCCTGCAAAAAATGAATGAAAGTTAAGTAAATTAAAAAAAGAAAAGTTAAGTTTATTTACCTGTTGTCCTCTTTGACCTTGCGGCCCTGGTTCTCCTCTTGCGCCAGTCCCACCACCCAAGACATAATGAACGCCCATGCCTCTTGAGTGGCCTCCAGAACTTTCTCCAGGTGGTCCTAATTTCAATGAATTAGTCCATAAAGAATTCTCAAATATTATTTCAAATTTAACCTGGTGGGCCAGAAGGTCCTTGTGGTCCAGGACGCCCATCAAATCCCCTTAAACCAACTTCTCCTTTTTCTCCTTTGACCCCATCATAACCTGGTCGTCCATCACTACCTGATTCTCCCTGAAAAAATTATTTCAAACAATTTTATTGTTTAATTAAATTAAGTTAACAAACCCGTTCGCCACGTTCTCCTTGCAGACCCATTAAACCTATTTCACCTCTTTCTCCTTTTTGACCTTCTCTAACGACTACACTGCCGCCAGTTCCTCCTGTTCCTGGCAACCCTGGAAGGCCCTAGCAGATGTAATAATAATTTATTAAATTGTAATCATCATATTCAATTAAGAATAGAAAAATTTCTCACTGGAAAACCACGCTCTCCACGGTCTCCTCTAAGGCCAGGAACTCCATTTCTTCCAGCTGCACCATCTCTACCATCAAATCCTCGCAATCCCTGTTCACCCTTTTCGCCTTAAAATGAAAATAAAAGCAATTGAAAATTCGAAATATAATTTTGTTCGAATGATTTTTCTTCTCTCATAAGTTTGTTTACCTTTCACAGCAGGTGGTGAAAATCCTGGAATTCCCATTGGTCCTATTGGGCCCTGAGAAGAAGCAAACAAAGAAATGTTTAAAATTGATCAATACGAAGAAAACAAAAACCATTAAAAGTTTAATTCTCACCGGAAATCCGCGTTCTCCTTTTTGACCGGGACGACCCTTAAAAGCGATTTGTCCAGAGAAGAAAAAAAAATTAATAGAATTCAACATAAGAAAATTGAAGAAAACAAAAAGCGATTATCTCTTACATCGGTTCCATTAAGTCCCTGTGGGCCTCGAGGACAAACTTGACAGGGTTTTGGTTCGGGACCTTCAAGAAATTCCGGAGCTACCCCTGCTACATCATAGCCCTGGTTATCAAATTGATTAATGAAATTGATTCATCGCAAGGAGAAAAGAGATAAGAAAATGTTTTATTGTTGGTAACGAGATGAAGAAATAAATTGTGAAGCTTACGGGAATCTCATCACAATTCTGACGTAAAGGTCGGCTCGGATCGCAAGTCATAACCATCCATTGCAGGTCAATCTAATAAAAAACCGAACAGGAAAAGAAAGAAGAAAAAATTACATCATGTGGTTGAAGAGTGAGAGGGAATAAAAATATCTCCCAATTGAATTGAATAGAAAATTTTCCACCCTGTCAATGATTGAAGAAAAGAATTCTTCGCCTTTCTATTCCTTCTATTTCTATTGTGCTTATACTCACAGGAGGTGCTGACTGAAGGAAAAGCAAAGAAAAAGAAAATTAATCATCTGTTCAAAAACTGTCATCATAAATTGTTTTGTGATTCTCACTTGGTAACTGGGAACTTTAGAAACTTGTGCAATCGATAGTGTGCCATCATGTATATCATACTGGCCACGCTCTCTTAACGGGCTGTCATAATATCCTTGAACACTTTTGACGGGCTGACAATCAACCCACAGCTTGGCTTGACTTTCTGTCACACCCAACATAATCTTGTGCCACCTTTGATCGAACAACTGTTGATACGATACACGATATGAAAAGCAATTTATTAAATACTGCAATTAATCTTGGGCTTAAGCTTAGTTGAATTATTTTAATTATTTTAATGACATTTATCACTTAATTTAGCTATAAAAAATATTCCACTATTTTTTGGTTCTTTTATTGGTCGACAGCTGTTTGTTGATGATGTCATAAGAATAAGAAACATGTTGTAATAAAACTACCGCAATCGTTTCTGACATTTAACTTACTAACAATAATAATTGCTTTTCTACAATATTCTTACGACTAACAACATCCCAACCCAACCGAGTCTGTTTCATTAAACACAAATTGTTACTGTTTATGTTTGTATAGCACTCGAGACAAAAAAAATTCTCGAAAACTTTTGTAATTCAGTTTAAAATCACTTAGAAAACTTTTTTTTTGTTTTTGCAATATACAGAATATTGTTGTGGAAAAGTTTTCATCACAATTAATATTTCATTAAATTGTTTTGAGTATCTTTGCGTTAAAGAAAAAAAGTTTGATGCATCATTCATCAACTAGTTAATCTCTTTAAGAAGCGAAGAACATGAAAAACAACTTACTCGTGTTGAATGGAACTCGACCATCTGTAAGTCACCCTTCGCATCGGGTAAAGAGAGTTGAAGTGTTTCTTTTCCAGGATTTAGAGTCACGGACAATTGCGATTCTTCATTTGAGTTAGTCAAATGGAATAAATGCCAAGGATCTGGCTGGCGTTGTCGTTCACGATAAGTGCACTCGAATGAAAACTCAAATGGAGTGCCGCGTGGAAATGCGTCTTCAGCTCTCATCGAGAAGTTTGCACTGTTTTCAAGACGATATGCAGTCTGGAAGCTATTCGAGCCCTCCGTTCTCGAGATTATCTCATAACGTGACTCGTAGTTATCCATTTGGAATTCTCGTATGATATCCCACGTTCCAAGATCCGCATCACCCGGTCGCCATTGACCGCAGGGTCCATCACGATTGTTCGCTTCTATTTAAGGTAGAATAGAAGAAAAAATCTCTGTCATCATTTTTTTAAACAAAATTTCTCGAAACTTACGAGCGATGGAACTGGTAACAAGCAACGATAGCACTAAGAGAATTACAAACTCAATTTTCATTTTCCTGCAACTTTTTTTAACTTTTGTCGTTCATAAACTATTTTCACTCTTCAACAGGTTTCAGATTTATTCACATTAGTTGACTCTCTACCAGCTACAGTCGCTGAAGAAAAAGTGAATCAGCTTCTTCCTTCCTTTGCTTTCTTCACAAATTTAAGCTCTTTAATTGAAGTGTAGTGGACAGTGCAAAAGCTACTTTAGAATTGAGAGATCTCTTCATTTTCGAACGTTTTCACAAAATATTTTCAGTCTGTTAAACACATTCAATGAATAGAAAAATATCTACTTCTTTTCAACAAAAAAAAAATCATACATTTAGTTGAAAAGCAAAAAAAAAAATGAAAATATTATGAAGATTATGATTTATTTATCAGCGATTCAAATGTGAAAACCATATGTTGGCGAAAACTGTCCGCTCTGTTCTTTTTCAATGAATATTTTATTCCGCATGATGCTTGGCTGGAGCATAGATAAATAGAAGATACATAAATGGGAAAAAATTGAAACGAGAGCGACAAACATTCGGCATTTGCTCGATGCAAAAATTATTTGCATGTGTTTTTGAAAAATTAATTACAGTGATATATTCCTTAATAAGAGTGTGTGTGGGGAAGGGAATAATTTATTGTCCATTATTCTCGCTTATAATCTTTTATAAATTAAACACATCACTTGCGAAATAAAGCAGCAACATGTTGCTTTCAGCTTTGCAGAATTATTTATTGATTCGACCTAAATATTTCTCGGTCTGTCTTTCAACAAGATTTTCGACTTCCTGCTTCCAATTCTGGCCTTCACATTTATTTAAATATGTCTAAAATGTGGTCCTTGTAACTTATAAAAAATATTTTCATAGTTCAATGTCAACCTTTTTTTTGTATTTTGAAGCTTTACATCTATCAATCAGCAATTTACGATCTTTGCTCTTTAGATTAAAATTTATTTCTTTGTTTCTAAATGTTTGCATTAAACATCGTATAAAGAAAAGTTGAAATTGTTTTAAGTACGATGTTTTCAATTTTCTCATCTTGAACGAACGAAAACTGTTAAGTCAAAGTTTTAAATAGAAAACTTTCTTTCAATAATGTCGCGGCAAGAGAATCCAAGACGGTAAGATATGAAAAGAAGTAAATTTTGTCTTCCTTACGCTCTCCAACTAAAAAATTGACAAGCATCTTTATTCAAAAGCTAATAAAGCATAAATTTTCAAGTTTTCCCTGAAGACGAGTAGAAAAACATCGATGAAGGGTGTTTGAAGATGTTGAAAGTTTGTTTTCGTCTTCTGATTTCTTTTAACGATGAGAAACAATTTTTTCAAGTTTTCCAATTTGTGATCTCTTGAGTTTTTCTTTTCTTACTTCTACATTTTCTACGTGTTTCTCTCATAGATTATGATATTATAACCCGAGATGTATGTAAGTAGGGAAGAAAGTGAAAATTATCTTAACTTTTCCTATCATGAATAGCATTAAGTCATACATAATTCTATGTTTGAGAAAAAAATGCATATAAACTGATTAACAAAAGTTTTCTCAGAAATTGTTTGCAATTTATGATTCTCTGTCACTTTTGATTTCATCCAAAATCTGTTTGTAATAGACTGACTCTTCAATTTCCTTCATTTACTCTACTTGAATATAGCAATTTACTCAAAGCAAATACAAATTTTGTTATTTATTTAGTTTGCTATTTACCAACAGCTCATAGATACACCTGCTTGCTTATGAAGTAAGATAGGAGATGATAAACTAACTTATCTGTAAAGAGAAGTTTGCATTTGTTTGCACGACAAAATGTGAACTGCTTATCTGCAGGCAAATTGAAAAAAAGAACCAGAAAAGAAAATGCATAAAGTTTGATAAAAAGTTGGGAATTTAATTTAGCTTACCAATGTCGTATCAAGAATCACTTCGTGTCAATGCTGTGGAAGAGACGAAAGTTGTGATTTCAATGAAGGTGAAGTATGATGAATGATTTATTAGATTGCAGATTTCACTTTAAAATCACTTTGCAAGTAGAAAAAACAAAGAAATTTTGTAATACTCGATTCTTCAACATAAAAGCTGTCAAACGGCTAATGAAACCTCATATCAATTGAATGCCAATCTTTGACGCGAGGCTAAAACGAAAATGTAATCTCGAGGAATTGCTTTTATTCAATTCTTTAACGTTATTCAATTTTACGCTTTTCAAAAGCTTTTAGCGAATTAAATGGGTGAAAAAGAAATGAAACGAGAAAAGAATGAAGAAAAGGCTTTTCTTCTTTCATTCTTCTTTTATTTGATGTGAGTTTAGTTCGTTCAGAGAAGAAAGGAAAATTCTGTTTGTTCATAAATTTAAAACTTTTCTTTAAGACGACATTGAAATGAAACTTTCATTTCCTTTCTTGACTGGAACAATCAATGTCCTTGTGATAGATCGTCACTAAATTCCAACATATTTTCATGCTTCGTTTGTGCTTAAAATGCTTCCAATTCACAGCATGCGAAGGACAATTTGCATGTGTTTATTGCGGATGAAGGGACTTTTTTTATTGCCTCACAAATAAGATAGAATTGAATTTGAAAAACGAAAATTAAAAAATGTATTTGCAGGCTGAAACATTTTAAATCTCATGAGTCGTTATTTGCGAGAAACAAAAAGAAAAATATGTTAAATGTATTGTGCATGTGTTTTATGTTCACATGTGATTGATTCTACACGAACATTAACTTTTATTGATTTCAAGGGGAGCGTTTATGAAAACCATTTAAAAGGGAAATTCATGGAAACAATCGGGAAAGTGGTTTGAATATAAAGTTTCGTGATCCTTATTTCATGGTTTAACTTCTCATTCTCCACTTTTTTTTTCATTTATACCGGATTGGATTTGGGAAACGAACAAAACAGAAATAAATTAACCGCTTTTTAAATTACATGAGTCTTTGATTTCGATTATGCCGCGAAAATCTGCGGAAAATTGAATTTTTCTGTCCGTTCCCATAAAAGATTTACGTTAGCGGCTAGTAGATTTTCATCAATTTCAATACATTTGTCACGGCTTAAATGGTAATGAGATTCATGGAAATTCACGACGGAAAATGCTTTCATTCACATTTCTTTCTTATTTTCCACTCCGTTGTACAATTGGCGAGTTGAAATGATGTCGCTTAGTTGACTTATGCTAAGTAAATAATTTTATTTCACCTTCAAGAGCCGTCACAAACATTATTACCAAGTTTTAACTCTAGCTAAACAAGAAAGAAGCAAGAAAGAAAGCTTTTATCGGTTAAAGGCAATCGAGTCAGAATTTATGTTTTTGGTGCGTAAAAAGTCGTATAAATTTATGATCATAAACGCATGACATTCCTTCTTCATGTTTTGTCGGTCTCTGCAGGAATAATAACAGACGCAACAACAAAAACTGAACGTGTTTCGTTGCCTGATGAAGAAACAGAAAGAAAGAAGAAGGTATTAAAAAGATGACTCGATGAGACACATTTTTTTATGTTTCTGTTCGTTTAACAAGCAAATAAATTTTATTGATATAAAATGCAATTGCGATTACCGTAATGGATGAATAGATGATCCACCACACAGTCTTTTTCATCTCACAAAACGAAACGCGACTCAACAGATCAATTGCTAAGTGCTCGAGGTATCATGTCTTTCTACAGTTATGAATTTATGCGTCAAAAGGGGGTCGTTTCATGTAATGATGACTTAATACATTGCTGCGTCTTTCCAACATAAAATCAACAGCAACTTTAAAAGGTTTAAGACTTCATTTTGCCTCTTTTTGTGTTTTGTTGATTCTTAAACTTTGCACATCGATTTTCTGTTGCTTGCGTTTTTGTAAGACATAAAATGTTTGGGGAGTGTTTCAACTGACATCAGCCGCTTATCAGCTTTCTACCCTCTTCGGCTCATCAACTCAAATTCTAGTTATATTGCTTACTCGTGGAAATGAAAATGAGTTTATGCTCGTAGACAAGGAAAATAAAAGCACAGTCGTGACCCTTAAAATTAGCAGAGAAGTAAAAATTGGGTGCGGCGTAGTTTTTAAAGCCCATTACGATTGTATCCAAATGAATTTGGTTGGCGTTGTTGTTCTTGATGTTATTAGATATAATCAGGGCATCGGACTATCTGAATATCATGCGAGTCATTTTAAGCATGAAGAATTTTCACCTAAATGAAAAATGAAATAAATTAAAGTTAAATTTCCTTTAATGGTTTATCAACTTGTTGACACTTCATCAGTGTGAATTCAATATCAATTGCTTGTCACTGGATAACATGACGCATTGAAGCATGTCTTAAATGATTTATGTCTTCACTCTATCATTTTCTCAAAATATGTTTCCCTGAAGCTTGTTTATCTTTGGGAAGCTCGATGGAGTGAGTAGTGAAAATAATTATAAAAGTTTTTTTTACATAATTTGTTGCTTTAATAACAGCAACTAAGCTTAAAAGTGAAAGATCTACCTCAAACTTTCATTCCACTCAATTCCAAATGACAAGCATATAAGTATTGTGTGGAAGTTGCGTGACATTAAATCGTATCCCTTATTTCGACCTTTGACGATAATAAATTTCACCACGAAGAAATTAGATTCCTTTAAGGTTCTTTTTTAATACAACAATAACTTTTATTCTAGTATATAATGGCATGTATCACAATACAGTTAATTATCGTGAATAAAATAAGTACATGCGTGTATCTAGCGAATACGTCATTTTCTTATATTTTCAAGACTTGAATCTTACGAAAAATGTTCTCATGTGAAAGTAAAGCAGCAACAATTGTAATAAAATTTTGTTAAATCGTTTTCAATGGCATATAAATAACTTTACGCATGGGATTCCGAAAGAAGAAGTGTTCTTAACGATTCAACTTAAACCTCTTCCCTTCAATGTCTGTCGCATGTGACATCGCATCCCTAAAGATAAAATAAAATCACTGAAAAAAATATGTTTACTCACCTAATACATTTGTCAAATATTGACTCAAAGTATTTATTCGGCAATTTATTATTTGAGTTGTGTACACATCTGACGTACTTTTATAGCTTTCACAAGAAGTTCTTAAGAGGATTAAGCAACATCTCAATATCATCAGTATTTTCGTGATAAGATGAAATTTCTTTTACCGACCGATGACTGACTATTGATTTAGTTTCCCCATTGGACTCATCAAGCTTATTTTTATTTTTCGTTCTGCTGTTAATTGACTCACATCATCAACGTTGAACCTTCAAGCATACTCACAACCTTCCCTCGAAAGAACAACAATTCATTTTGATCTCCAATAAATCGTTCCTAATTACTTTTCTTGCCTTGACTGATGAAATAAAGAAAAAAGAAATAAAGAAAGATGATGATTTGTTGTTCAATAGCGAGGAAAGAAGTTAATTACAGTCAAAGAAGAAAAGTTAATCAGACGATATTTCTCTTGATGCTTAGATATGCTTTATCTGATGGGAACTAATCTGTTGTCATAGAAAATATTTTAGCGTAAGATTTGATTTATGTTTCACAACATTTACATCATACATTACATGATTTCTTTTTCATAGAATTAAATTGTCAAGTTTTGCTTTGCAATATTATTCAATAATAATTTTAACAGTTCCTCCGTCACATAAGTTCTCGCATAATTATTAGTGTAGAGTGTAGGAGGGAGTGATAAATTATAGTATGGCATGCATTGCAGTGGCATTCTCATGACGTTTGGCATGTTCAAGCTAATTTATTTAAATTATTATTAAGCAGAACGTAAATTAAGTGTTGATATTTCACACTCCACAGTGTTGATCACCGAATAAATCTTCAAAATTAAAGATTTTGTCAATGAATTGCGTACAAGAATTTTTAAGATACTTTAAGTTGCAGCGACATGTTTTTAACAGAGAAATGATTATATTTTTTCACATTTCCTTGAAAATCTCCCACTGGGACTTCAAATCCAATTATCTTCAACTTTTCCGAGACATAATTACCGTAAATAATTAAAATTTTATATGAAGTTGTCTCGATAGAGACACTTGCAGTAATTGCAAATTATAATTATTTCTCTTATTCAGAAAGATCTCAGTTGCTTCCAAACTCCATTATCAACAGTAAATATGAAAGTCATCTTATGTAATTTAAAAGAAACAAGCAAATATTGGAATCACTTGTAACCAAGTAGAATAGAAAGAAGAAAAGTTTCCTCATAAATTTCTAGACAATCTTGAGCTTAATTCAATAAACTCATTTTCCATATGTTTCTTTATTTTCTTTTCAAGAAGTGGCAAAAACAGCAAAAAGAAATTGTTATGATACAAATTACATGATAAATGTCTAGTTGAAAGGCATCAAGTTGGATGAAAATGGGATATAAACAGACAAATAACATAATAGAACGTGCAGAAAGGAAACGTGATGCGATTTTTAAATACGAACCCGAAACATTTTTTAGATCAGGAAGGAGGGAAAAAAGGAAGATTTGAGAATTTTTGATCATGATTCGGAAGAGATTTTTACATAACAACATAAATTCAATTCACATTAATTGTCGTGAAATCAAAAATTCCATTTTTTATTCGTGATTTTTGTTCAACATAACAATGGAAACAAAAACATGTCAAGTGACATAAGTTTTGATGATGAAAAATATTCAAAGTTAGATGAATAATTGATGGAACAATCTATGCCGTTGAAGTGCATCAACTAGATAATTTAACATCGTTCTAACGGGTGGTGCTTCATTGATGTCGTTGTCGCTAGTAAAGAATGTCATATTAGTCTGAATGAATATTTTTTATTGTTATGAAAACAATGGAAAATGTGAAAAACTTCCCAATTGTGTTCTACAAAAAAGAACTAAAAAATGCAGTCAAAAATATTCTCAAGATGAAAATGATGAAACAATTGAAATGTTTGAAAATAGGTTTTGTGTAAAATCAATGTTGCATAGATTGCATTCAATTTCGAAGTATTTCACCATTCTATTAGCATTGTAAATTTCGATACCTCTCTCTGCATGTTAATTTCGCACAATTTGAAAGCTTCTCATGAGATTTTATTAATTCTAACGTGAGTGAAGCTCTACACATCGGCCTTGTTTATTATTTTATCGACTGAAATGGGAAGAGGTGAATGAAAAATCAATTTGAAATAATAGATCATTAGGAAGATTTTCGATTCTTCATGACCAAAATATAGAATGGAATATTCGATTATAGAAATTTTGTGGATGGTTTGCCACAATAACAACAACAACAGTGGAGTAACACATCACTCTAAGCATTGTTTGTATATCCAGAGGTGTCAAAGTCAATAACATTATCATGTAACGTTGATGATATAAAACGCCTACGGGATTGCTTATGTTTGCTTATTGTAGCTTTATTCTTAGTGAAATGCATGAAATGTTATTATGGAAGTAGTGAATTTAGTGAAATATATCTAATCGTGAGGATAAAATTTATTCACAGTGCATTGAATTCGAAACAATTAATTCTTATAACATGCTGAGAATTTGGAGATTTCTGCCGACTCTGACGAGAGATGTGCTCGGCTAGAACTGTAAATTGATATATCTCGTAGGCTGAAACCACGACAAGTTATTGTGACTACCCGAAAGAGTAAAAATAACTGTTTTGGCATCGTAAATACAATTTTCTGTTTACATTTAGCACCACATGTTGATCGTGTATGTCATTAATTATAATGATGAGACAACGTTCAAATGTACAGACTTCGAAATAAACTTAAGAGTTCCAAATGCCAAATGAGTAAACAAAGATAAGAGTTTTTGTATGAGAGTTTGATCTATAATGAAATTAAGGCAAACGCATGTTGAATGTTGATGACATGGCAAACGATCTGAATATTCTCTAATGAAATGTAATTCTAAGCACTGGTACCATCAAATTATCTGTCAAAAAAACCATCGAGGACAAGACAATGAAAATTAGTCACTTTGTCATTATCGCTTTCCCTTTTGTTTTAATCTCAAAGTGAACTTTTACTTTTGATGGAAATCTCAAAGGATATTTTGCATTTCCTTCTCTTTATCATGAAGGACATTCTCAGATCTTTTTTAAAATGAGAAAAACCTTCTTCATCAACATTAAAAAAAATTAAAGATAAAATTTCCCTTCATGAGAAATGCTTTCAATTTAAGTCAATTGGAAAAGTAATGCCCTGAGCTTGACGTTTCATTTTCTGTTTTCCATTACGTAAGATAACAGTTTTGATGGAAAACGTGACCATTAAAAAGACATAAATAAAAGAAATAATCAAAATGAAGCTTGAAGCACCAGAAATATTCATTTTCATTAGCGGAAGAGCATAAATTATTCTTATTAATAATTTGGATGATTTTCATGTTTGACCTTTTTCAAGAACAATTTCGTTTCTTTTTTTTTCTTGTCATGGCTCGTGAAGGAAAATCAAACTCACATTTTCCGGTGCTTTTTTAACAGAGAAGCGTGTCGTATCAGAGATAAAAACTCATTTGCTCATTTTGAAAGCATTCTTGAAGAGAAGTTTTTAACAAAAGATGTTATCATCGTGTATCACGGGGAATGGTACAAATTGTTACAGTAATCAATGTAAGTTGCGAAGTTGTTTCCTTCTGTTGAAAATTAGTCAATTAACCATGGAGGAATTGTTTTCACAATTACGCAATATTTCATCGTGGAAAAAACATTCGAAATAAGCGTAAGCGCTTGATTAAACCACACGATGTTCTTGTGAAGACCTTAGAAACTTAATAACTTTCTTTCTTGCCAACATTAAACAAATTAATTCATTTATCGAGCTACAAAAAGTGAAGAAACGGAAAATGTTGTTTTTAGTTTGAATCGCAACCGAACTCAAAAGGAAAAAAATGAGTTTTTTTTTGCCTGCAATGCGAAATGAAAAGCGTTATAAATAAGGAATGAGGAAAACCAATTGTCAGTGTTGGATTTTAATAATAAAAGACGTTAAAAACAAGTTTTTTTTCTTACCGTAAAGCTGGCATATTTTCCATTTTCTTCCGACGAAAATGTAAATTAAACTGAAAAAGGTTGGTTTTTGTTGCGATGTTTTCCTTTCCCAGTATTTTCTTTATTTTAACCACCGATTTTGCCATTGTTGTACACTTTTCTTTTACAAGACAAAGCAAGGAAAACTATAGAAAAGCGGCATTAAACAAGGCTCTTTCTGTTGCGTGACTTTTACTTATCTATTTAAATGGAAGAAAGATAAATTTATTGAGTCATTCACGTAAGAACTGTGAATATAATTTTTCTTCGTTAAAACCATCACACCCATTTTTTACATGTCGGGAAAGCATTTCACTATTTACGTAAACATAAAAGAGAGAAAAACAAAATCAAAACTAGAAAAAGCATAGAGAAACCAGAAGTTAAAAGTTCTCTTTGTGTAAGAACTACATGACAGTGCACACCTTACATCCATTCAGTTAGTTTGTATTGCAGATTTTAATTCTGTTAATTCACATGGGAACAACCACAAGAAAATTTACAAGAAACGCGAATGAAAGCATAGTAAAAATCAACAAGATTTATTATTCCTTTAATTAAATTTTATGTCTTAACTAGGGCAGTCATATCATGCCTGACGTCAGACCTGATGTCATGTCACAATTGAAACTTTTAGTGTCAATTTTTTTATTTGCATTATTTTTTTATCAATTTTTTCTGCTTTCTGAATGTATTTTTATTATTTCAGCTGCTTACTTTTCAACTACAGTTTTATAAAGAAATATCTTGAAAGAGAAATTAAAACCAGAAATTTTATTTGAAGTTGAGATGTTGAACTGTTCATTGAAATTCATACAATAACAGATTTATTGAACAGTTACGCATTTTAAAGTTTTTGAAGCAGAGTCTGGTGTAGGTGGAGATGAAGAGTACTCTTCTGGTGCTTCTGAAGAGTACTCTTCTCGATACCATGGATAAGCTTCTTGTGGACAATCATATTCGGGACAACAAACTCCTTCTGTATAGGTTTTCGTACACTTACTTACGTCAATACCTGCTTCCTGTAAATGGTAATCGCAGTCTTCATCCCAATACCATTCTACAACCCCATTGTTGCAATAATATTTACTACAGAAACTATTCTCGTAAACGTGGACTCCATTTTGGAATGTTTCTCCATTGTATGTGCAAGTTAGACCCGATAAAGGTCCTGGAGGTGACACTGTGATAAAGAATAACAAAAATTTATATTAAAATATTATTCAAAGACACTAATAGTAATTTTTCATACTAAATAGTCCATTACTACTTGCTGCACTAAAAAGTGTTAAAAAATTTAAGATATTTGCTGATAATAGAAGTAAAAAAGACTTACACGTTATTTAAACCGATGATAGCTATAAAGAAAAATCCAAAAAAGTTTAACTTAATCATTCTGAAAATTCAGTTTTGTTGCTGC